GATCCAGATCCAGGAAGCCAAAATCTTGCGGATCCAACGGATACGGATCCGGATCCTAAGCACTGTAGATACTCTACGGTAGGGTGCACAAAAAACCTTGACCTTTCTGTAAAATTTAATTCTTAGCAATGTTGCTTTTCCAAACAAACTGTCTAAGGTGTTATATTGAGGACATACATGTGGTAATGTTACATCCCCCCTACTGAACTTCTGACTTACTAACTTTCCGACCTACTGCAATATCGGACCTACGCAAGCTGTTTATTTCTGTATTATTTGAGGGTTAGGTTAGGTTAAGAAAATTTCTGGTTCGAGCGCTGCGGCTAGGATAGGCTAGGGGACCGAGCGCCACGGCTAGGTAAGGTCCGGGCGCTGTGGCCGTCCATCTAGAGGCTGTAAAACCACGTGCTAGTAGGTAGGATGTGTAGTATACCGGATTTGGCGTAGGTCAGAAGTGAAGTATAGCGGATTCTTGTAGGTCGAAAGATTCACCATCCATACAAGTGCCACAGTTGATCTGAATGGATACAGATTAGATCAGATACACGAAATACACCCCTGATTAATTTACAATTAATCAGTCGACTTTACAGTCTAATTTTACAGATATGAAACAATAATCACAAAATAGCCCTAGTCCTGCCATTTCTAAATGTGGTCTGCCTTTTTCGAGCATTCAAAATTGCCAGGGATAGATATCTAAATTCGTTAAGATTGTCAAGAAATGTATAGTTCTGTAATCATTATTTTTAATAATAAAGTACTCATTTAGCTTTTCATGAATCGTAGAAGATCCTCAATTTATTTTATCTGAAAAATAACTAAATATTTAGATATTTTATCTGAAAAATAACTGAATATTTAGATATTTTATCTGAAAAATAACTATATATTAACTATTTCTTTCCAATTCGAATAAAAGAAGAAAGAAAAATCTGCACTAAAATGCATTTTGAAAATTTGAGCTTTTTGCAATATAACAAATATGAAAGGAATTATTTTTAGATAACATTATATTTGTATGGGGTATCTCTCATTCTAACCAAAATGTTACCATTTAAGATTTAAAGTTTTTTTTACGTAAGTATTCAAAATTCTGATCACAAAGAATTCAGTAGTTAACATATTAGTTTAACTGTTAACATATTTGTAAAAGTGAATTTAGTATTTAAATTATGAAATGGTTCAGCTCATTTTTGGGTCAACCAACCCATAGAACTCATTCTAATGGATTTTCTTTATTTTTGCACACAGCTAGCATATTATAATCAAACGTTTAATCCAAATTTTCAGGCTCGTAGATTAGTTTTGCTGATGAAATATCAAAAATTTGATTTGAATTGATTTTGACCAAATCCAAAGATTTTATATTTAAATTTGTTTCCGTTTGTAGTCCAGTGTAGCGGAGCAAGTTGATTTTGTTATACGTGAATCCACAACCCCTGACAACTTGGCACTCATGTATGAAGGTTGGACAGCTTGGATATGAACAACAATATTGGAATTACAAAAAGGTTTGTTACAAATATCTTTTAAAGGGATTTAGAGTGACATGTCCAGAGTCGGGTTAAGCCTAATCCAATCCTACTTAAATCTTAAAGATCTTGTTTCATTTCAAACTGAAGCGGGGTTCGGGCTTTAACCAAAAAAGTTTGTTTTGTTCATATTAAAATTGTGGAAAAAGTATTGCTTTTATTATGTTTTGAAAACACCTCGATATCGAGTGCACACACTGCACTGCTGAAAATGTACCAATAGGTTTCAAGTCAATTCACCTAAACTTTTTCTTCAGAATATGTTGATATGCAGTTTTCTGAGTTATAAGATCTATATTTTTTAGAAAATGCCACCTAGGGAATTTTCCGCAAATCCATTTTTAAAATATCTCAGAAATCATTTACAGGTCTAAAATGAAACTTAATATTCGTTTAAAGACTTAAATATGCTTCTTAATGGTTTTTTTGCTATATTTTTTTTAACAATTAATGGAGGGTCACCAGATTATGTAATTTTTTATGAACGTCAGAAGACATATTGCCTAACTGACTAGACACTTCAAAAACCCTTTTATATGCAGTACTTAAACAGTCATACTGGCTTTGATTTTTTGCTAGGACATGTCTTAAGACTGTAAAGGACAACTCACAAAATTTGGTGACCCTGCCATTAATGGTTAAAAAAATATCGCAATAAAACAGAATCATCTTAATCAAGTCTTGAAACTAAAAATATATTTGTTTTTAGACCTGAAAAAGCTGCATATTAATATAATGCAAAGAAAAAGTTTAGGTGTTTTGACTTTAAACCTGATGGTCCATTTTCAGCAGTGTGAGCAAGAGGGGTAAGGAAGGAAACTAAAAATTATGTTTAAAAAGATCAGTTAAAGATGAAAAATCCCTAGTCCTCACTCCTCAATGTTAGCTCAAACTTGTCTGACAATTAATTGTTAGTAAAGTTGTGTGGTTCTTTAGAATAAGGGGGGGGGGAGAAAAAGAAAAAGACAACTTCTTGGCAAAGACAAAGACAAAGACAAAGACAAAGACAAAGACAAAGACAAAGACAAAGACAAAGACAAAGACAAAGACAAAGACATAGACATAGACATAGACATAGACATAGACATAGACAAAGACAAAGACAAAGACAAAGACAAAGACAAAGACAAAGACAAAGACAAAGACAAGGAAAAGGAAAAGGAAAAGGACAAGGAAAAGGAAAAGGAAATGGAAATAAGAAGAATGATATATGACACAAGGGGAGTAAAAAGAGAAAAAGGATATATAAAGAAAAAAGGAAAAAAGAATTAAGAAGGAAAAATGAGCCTGAAGACTGTTGAGGGATTTTTTTCTATTGCTTTTAATAATTTAAAACCTTTAACCTCAAACTACAAAAAAAACTTCCATTATTCTTCTTAATTGGACAGGGTTTTTTTAATTAGACATTAAAGCGACTTTGGCAAACATTACGGCCAGTAGATTTTTATGCCAACTTTATTTTTCTGTCTCACTTCTTCAAATGGTTTCTTATTTATCTTTCACTGAAATAACAATTTTTCAAGGACAGTAGTGAATCCTTGTGAACGCTGCAACAGCCTCAATTGTAATTCATTCTGACAAAATGTCGGCTAACCCTTCTTTTTCTTCTATCCACCACACAATATTACTCTAGATGATTAAAGAAACTGTTCAGGAAAAGGGTTTGGTTTTATGGTTTTAAAATATTTGTAAAGTATCATTGCTCAAATTTGGTCGATAGGCGGAAAAGCCTTGACCTAGAAGGGATTGTGATGGCATAGGTCAAGGAGCTAGTGTGCACTCCCTAGCTTATTGAATTGAATTGAACGGTTTAAAGGATACAGAGGACTAGTACAAGATACAGAGGACTATTATAGGATACAAAGGACTAGTACAGGAAACAGAGGACTAGTAGAAAATACAGAGGCCTAGTACAGAATATAGGGGACTAGTACAGGATATAGAGGTCTAATACAGGATACAGAGGTCTAATACAGGATACAGAGGACTAGTACAAGATTCGGAGGACTAGTACAAGATTCAGAGGACTAGTACAAGATTCAGAGGACTAATACAAGATACAGAGGACTAATACAAGATACAGAGGACTATTAAAGGAAACAGAGGACTAGTTTAGGATACAGAGGAATAGTACAGGAAACAGAGGACTAATAGAGGATACAGAGGACTAGTACAGGATACAGAGGACTAGTAGAGAATACAGAGGACAAGTACAGGATACAGCGGACTAGTTACAGGATACAGAGGAACTGTTTTAGGTTAAGATATATGAAGACAACTCAAACACAGCATGCTTAATTTAAGTATAATGAAACCACTACTAATTTATAATTTTCAGGATTAAAACTTATAAAGTGAGAGATGACAAGCGCAAACCCAGTTGCATGCCGCGGCAGAATTTTTAAATCATTTTCTGTCGCTGACTATTGAGGGGGGACCAAAGACGACATTGTTTCAGCTGACACGTCCCTTGATAAAGGTAATTTTGATTGGTCAAGTAGAAATTTTCCTCAATTTTGCCATTTTTGTCATTATCATTATCATTTATCATTATAAATGAAAGGGAAATGATGGTCACTCTGATGTAGTTATTTTGAAATTTATTAACATTGTTGTGCTGGACAAAGAAAACAACAATTTATTTTTCAAATGGCTCACTTTTCACCTTTTTAATAGGTCATATTTCACATAGTAAATGGACTGTAAGCGTAATTTCAATGATCCTCCATGCAAAGATGGCAATGTCCGATTTACAACGGTACCCCTGAAACCCTTGGTCAAGCATAAATTAAATATCAATGTTTTTGTCTCTTTAAACTTTTTATTTTAAAATTTTTATTTGCGGGTTCTTTGCGAAAGTGACTTGCACATTTTTTGTCTATAAGAAGCATCAAGGATAATTTCAGAGAAATAAACACTTTGCGTTCATAACGACTGGTCATTAAAATCAAATATCTTGTTGGGTTACTTACAAGAAATAATATTTTAAAGACGACTGTACAGGTATGTTATTGTTTAAACCTTCCAGTTGTCATATTTTCATTAAATCTGGGTTAAAACTAGTTTTTAAATCCAATTTTTTCCTGAATTCTGCATTTCCTTTAAATGTTTTTTTTTTGTATATTTTTGTTTTTATGAAGACTTAGAGTCTACTCAATTAGCTGCTCTCAATATCATTCTATTTATTGAATACCTCCAATCAAGGAAGGATATGACGTCAATCTAGGGTTTCCAAGATTTACAGTGAAAATGGGATTATCAGTGAGACCCATATAACTATGGAATATGAAGACGAGTGCTAGGCTCATATTATGATTTAAATAGTAGCATAAAACATCAATTGTGCAGTGTACACAGAACCATATCATTAAAGTTGTTGCTAAAAGTTTTGGCTTTAAAACCACATCAAATACGCATAATATTGCTTAAATGTCGTCTGCTTATTCCAGTTTTATGCATCTTCTTAATGGATGATCATATTATGTTCATATCATGGCATTTCTAGTAAAAGACTAAAAGCTCTAGAAAAAATATATACTTTTTAAAGAACTTGTAAAAGTATGATTAAGTGAACCTCTATGAAAAGATGGCAATGCCCGATTTACAACGGTTTTCTAAAAACCTTTATCTAATAATCTGCAGGTTATTGTCGTTTTTTAGATATAAAGGTGTTTAATTCTGATATTCGGATAATTCTAAACGTTTTGAAAAGAAAATCACAATTGAAAATAATCAGCTTTCAAAATGATAAACATTAATATTTAATTCATGCTTGATTAGTAAGAGCTTTTAAGAGTACCGTTGTGAATCTGGCATTGTCATCTTCGCATGGAGGGTCACTTGAAATTACGTTTACGTTAACGACACCTTATATAGTCAAAATATTTCTATTTTCAGATGGTGCGTTAAAATTTGGTCAGCAGCGTACACTATTCAACGCCCAGTTCGGTACGCTGTACAGTGTACAGTCATGCTACGGTCCAACGTTCACAATAAACCCCTCTCGCTTCAACCATCTCTCGTTTTTGTATTCCTTTCATTTATGTTGAAATATATTTTGTTTGTTTTTTAATTAAATATCTGTGTTTTATTACATTAATGTATTACAATATATATTGAGGGTAAATTTATATAATATTCAATAAAATAAATAGTGGGTTATAATTTTTTCGAATTATTTAGACACCTTTTCTGACTAGTACATATCAAATATTCAGTAATTAGAGAACAGCTTGGATCATCTTATCCATGAAATGTTGAATAGGGACTCGAGTATTTGTTTGTTAAATAATAGGCAGTACAGTTTAAAAGCTTTAAAGATTCGTATGGTAGGAATTTCTTGAAGTTAATAACTGAGAAATATCCGGTTAATTTAATCAGGTATTAAATCCGATTGCCGACCGTGGAAATCTAAGGCCCATGCTAGGTTCCGAGAATCTGATTATTCAAATGGAAACGGGAGCAACATTCAACAATACAAAAGTTTTGACCTCAGACCATATAGGAACAAACTCAAATTTTTTAATCCCTATATCTTCGTAACCTGATTGTGTAAACTATTTAATATAGCATAATAAAGCTCTTTGCTCATATAAAAATTTGTATATTTGTGTATATATGCTAGCTATTGCTGGCCAAACGGCTAAACCAAATTGGCTGAACTTTTTAAGGGAGCAACGGCTTAAAAATTCAATTTTTTTAAAAGTTCATAATTTTTTGCAATAAAATTTATTTTACATTTCATGGGCAATTTAAAGCAATCCAGCCAGTCTAGCATAATTCATGGTTTGAAATATCAAAGGGCGTTGCAAAGATTATGGATTTAAAAATTGGAGTTTGTGGCAAAAATTCATAACCTTTATTTGATTTTGAGAAAGGCTTTAAGCTAACATCTAGCTGATCGTTATTGATTAGAAACTAAACGATAACTTCAATAAGGATGAAAAAGTCTGGTAAAAATGTTGAAAAGAGAACAATAATATAAACAGAGTATTGTAATGAGCAATCAATGAGAGGAAAGAGTCGTTAATTTGGATTTTTTGTACTTTTTCTTACAATATCAATAAAATCTTAATTTAGTTAGAGCTCTAAGAAGAATCTTATTCTTGAACAGGACTGTTCACAACTTAAGAGAAGAATTCTACACTTTTAGTAGGACTTTTCACAACTTTGAGAAGAATTCTACTTTAAGTAGGACTTTTCACAACTTTGAGAAGAATTCTACTTTAAGCAGGACTTTTCACAACTTTGAGAAGAATTCTACTTTAAGTAGGACTTTTCACAACTTTGAGAAGAATTCTACTTTAAGTAGGACTCTTCACAACTTTGAGAAGAATTCTACTTTAAGCAGGACTCTTCACAATTTTGAGACGAATTCTACTTTAAGTAGGACTGTTCACAACTTTTAGAAGAATTTTACTTTAAGTAGGACTCTTCACAATTTTAAGAAGAATTCTACTTTAAGTAGGACTCTTCACAATTTTAAGAAGAATTCTACTTTAAGTAGGACTCTTCACAACTTTTAGAAGAATTTTACTTTAAGTAGGACTGTTCACTACGTTGAGAAGAATTCTACTTTAAGTAGGACTGTTCACTACTTTGAGACGAATTCTACTTTAAGTAGGACTGTTCGTAACTTTGAGAAGAATTCTACTTTAAGTAGGACTGTTCACAACTTTGAGAAGAATTCTACTTTAAGTAGGACTGTTCACAACTTTGAGACGAATTCTACTTTAAGTAGGACTGTCCACAACTTTGAGATGAATTCTACTTTAAGTAGGACTGTTCACAACTTTGAGAAGAATTCTACTTTAAGTAGGACTGTTCACTACGTTGAGAAGAATTCTACTTTAAGTAGGACTGTCCACAACTCTAAGAAAGTTAGCTGGAAAGAATCCAACCCTCCCAATCTCAGTTTGAACTCTCCACCACTCACCAGAACCTCCTTCTCCCCCCTCAACCACCCAAACCATCTCGTTCTTACTCAGGCTTATCTAAACAATAAACATTAAACATCATTACTCAGGTTTATTTAAACATTAAACATAATTACTCAGATTTATCTAAATATTAAATATCATTACTAAGGTTTTTTAAACATTATTACTCAGGTTTTATCTAAACATTAAACACTATTACTCAGGCTTATCTAAACATTTAACATTATTACTCATGTTTATCTAAACATTAATCATTATATAAGTCAGGTGTATCATAACATTATTACTCAGGTTTATCTAAACATTAAATTTTATTACTCTGGTTTATCTAAACATTAATACTCAGGTTTATCTAAACATTAATACTCAGGTTTATCTAAACATTAATATTCAGGTTTATCTAAACATTAATACATTATTACATGATTTGTTCAGTTTTATATCATTTTTCAAATCTTTAAAGCCAGGAAAATTTTTGACAAATTAAAATATTTAAGGACGGAAATTATAAAATCAAATTTTTATTTCATAATGATTTTTCAGATATATTTGTTAATTAACCCTTATCACGATTGTGGGTGGGGGGTATTCGCCCCCCTGTGGTTTCTTCTAAATAACTAAAAAATGGCTTACATTAGAACGCTAAAACTTCTTCACTTTTTAAAAATCATAGTTCTGAAAAGAATTTGCTAATTTGAATGTTTGAGCTATGTATAGGTAAGGGTGGAGAATGGTCAAACAGCTTGTCGGTGTTTTTACGACTGTACAGAATTATTTGCTTCCGGGGTTTCATGTTTAAGTAAACAATTTGCATAAACAGTTGCCGTATTGTTAGTGACGATTGAATCTCCATATTTAGGAGTTTATGTCGTCTATAATGCCTCATCCTTTGTGGGTCACCCTGTATGAATTTCATGTTTATATGATAAAACAAATAAAAAAGCTACCTCATTGCTCCTGTTCTGTTTATACTCACAGAGCACCCTGGCACGGCGTAAAAGAGCTGATGACGCTTGTCCAAGTGGCGCCAGTCCTCTAGGCGCCGGCTGTGGGTCAACATATCGCTGAGCTGAAGCACTTCGATATCTTGGAGCTGGGGCGGGGGAGGTAGGCGGAAAATATCTAAAAGTAAATTTTTTCAGTAATGTTTATTTTCTAAAATTACTAAATATGTATATTTTTCAAAGATATGTTAAGTTCCGTGGATATCTCTGATCTTGAAAAAATGTATGATTGTCAACCATTAACATTAAAAACCCCCCCCCCCTCCATGTAATGTCGTCTTCAACCTAAAAGCTCCTCTCGGAGATGAGAAGCCAAACCAAACAATTCCAGCCCGCTTTTCTTCTTTGTTCTCCAATAACGGAGTATAAACGTTTATTAATTGTGAACCATTTCAAAGTTAAACAAAAACATTTCTATTTAAAGAATTAGTGACTTTCATCAACATTTAATTGTTAATCCTTTCAGAAGTTTTAATGTATAAAAAGCGTCTTCGGACTTTTCGACAGATAACCCCCCGAATAGGAAAATAGATCGTAAGAATCTTTTCATTATAAATTTGTAAACCCTGTAATAATTATTTATCATCATTCATTTCGTTATTTTTTTTAGGAAATAAAGAGTTTTCTGCATTATCGATTTTGATTCGTGGGTTATACCTTGTCTATCTGTTCATCGTCAGAATCTTGTTTCTAAGCGACAACAATGATGTTTTATTCCTTTTGTATACAATGCACTTAAAACTCCGAAATAGTTGGCCGCCAGCTCTCTGCTATCGATACTTTGAAACACGTAGCAGAGACATCTAGCGGGAAAAGCCGTTTTAAGTGCATTGTATATTAAACAAATAACAAATATTATGAAATATATACGAATGCGTCGAAAAATAATCGATGACTTTAGGTTGTAATATCCGAAGGATTTGTTTGAAATTAAATTACTTTTTTACGATCCCAGTCGTATATTGCAACTTTCTAAATTTGTATGGACGCTACGTTCTTCAGTAAACAATTTTCTCCTTATAGACGCAACAAATAAAAGTAAAATTAGTAGTGATCAAAAGCGATTATTTCGAACCTCTTAACTGATTTGGGGGAACTCTGTAGAACCACGGGAATGTTCATAGCTAGGTTTAAAAGTTCTTAGTTGAATACATGTACTCTTATAAAGAAAACTTTGATTCAGGGCAAAGCTGGGTTCCCAACCTGGTATTGTATAAAGTAGATATATCTATTATGTTTATTTTGTATTTATAAATATGCAATAAAGTTAATAAAATATTATCGAATCAAATCATATCTAATATTATGTAATCTAATACATGCAATCCGCCCTAATACAATAAACAGCTGAGCTCGGATAAGCATGATTATAAAATAAGGATTTTATGACCAGCATTTATCTTTAAAAAGGTGTCTCCCAATAAACATGTTTATAGGTATTAAGAAAAGAAATTCACAAAAATCAGCAAATAAAAATAGCAAATTGGGATTTCCAAAATGTTTTTTTGCTAAAAATAAAAAAATTTTATGCAAGAAGTTCAATTTAGCGTATTTTCTTTAATATTGTTTGTTTCTCTTTCTTCACCTAGCTTAAATATCCCTTAAATATCCTTTACGTAAAATTTCGTTAGTTTTGTTTATTATTAAATGAAGAAATTGAGTCTTTGCCACAAACTCATATTTTCTAATCCCTTTATCATTGCAGCTCAATGTTATAAACCTTAGATATATCAAACTATAATGAAATATATCTGATTAAATAATCTAAGTTTGAAATACGAAAGGGTTACGCCAACGCCCAACAGTTTGCAAAAATATAAGAGTTTGTGGCAAATACTCAATTCCTTTCAAGAGAACCTCAATTGACAGCGTTACAACTTCCAGGTCCAATTCGCTAAGGTTTAGATAAATGTTTAAAGGGTACTACTGTGGAGAACTGCAACTCTTATGTTAACAGAGTTTCAATTGAAATAACATCCATACACCCCTTGATAATTGTCCTTTAACATTCTTAAATTGTGAACAATGTTTTGTGATATATCATAGTTCGATACTTCTTTATCTTACAGTTTCTCATTTCTTTTCTTGTTATTTCATGATTTCTTTATTTGGAAGAATATTAAATATTTAGAATTGATAAAGGTTCAAAATATATAATTTCCAAAATGTGGAGGTATAAGCTACAGTGTGTCCCAAAAAACATGGGAATTCAGTGACGAATTTGTTATGAATTAGCATTGTAATATCTAATTTCAAAACCCATAATATTATTATGTCTGCTAGAGTTTATTTTATTAAATGGGTAAATTGCTGTAAAGATGCGTCTATAATGTATCCGCAAGATGAACAGTGAAGACGGACAAGTTTACTCTGTTTGTATACAGCAATTTTCTTTTTTTACTTATAAGTACAACCGTATGCAGTCAAAACATAAACAAACTAATTGTAAACATAGCAGAAGAAACTCTTACTTACAGATTACAGCTTTCTCAGTAGGTATCACTATACTAGATCAAAGAATTATATAATTATAATTCGTCACTGAATTTCCATGTTTATTGGGACACCCTGTATAAACATCTATTTTCAGTAAAATTTATTTATTGTGCTGTGCACAAACATCACTGCCAAACTAACTGGCACTTAACACAAATTCTTTTTTTAAATTCAGTGATGGTGATGGACCAAACCTCTGTAGAGTAAAAAAGTAGATGTTTATATTTCCACAGTTATTGAAAATATATTTCGGTCTGGGTTGACCCTCGTCAGTTCTAACGATATAATAACCATCAAAATCGATAAAAAAAATTAAAAAACATTTTGTTAAAAATCACAAGAAAATAAACAAACAAAAAGATTACTCAAAATAAAAATTTGGGCTGTCAAATGGACATATTTTCTTGTCGCCTTGTATCGTTGAAAATATTATATATTTTAAACAATGAATTTTTATTAATCAAATAGTTTGAAACATCAAAGGTTTACACTCTCAGGTTGGAACTTATTGGGAATAGAATTTAGAGTTTGTGTTCAGTGATCAGTTCTTTTTCCCAGAAAAAATAGTTTACCTCTGCGAGGGGGTTGGAGGTGTCGAGGCACTAAATTTCCCCGAATCTAGACTAGTATCACTATAGTCGGAACTATAGGACGGTTTCGGATCAACACTAAAAGATCTAGTTGCCAGGCTAGCTGTGTCTATATAGTCGGAGAACGGTTTGACCGGAAGGGGTCCAGGTCCCTGGGGAATTCGAGGCTGACCTCCAGCAACTGGAGGAGGTCGAGGTTGACCTCCTGTTTGTTGACCAACTCCTGGCAGTCGAAAATATTCAGAATTTTCTACACCTAAAATCAAAATATTTTGTCAATTTAAATCTTTTTTTTTGCAATTGAAAAAAAACGAGTTCTTTGTCAGACCATGACCAAAGGAACTGATTACCCTCCTTCCAATATTCTAATCCTTCTATCTTTGCAACCCAATGTTAACGACTTTTGAAGTTTTCAACTTTAAACACAGATTCAAAATATCAAAGGTTTAAAAAAAATTGGAACTTGAGGTGTTAATCAGTGTAGCAGAGAAAAAAAAGATTTTTTGCAAAGCAAATGTTCAGATTACATTCGGTTAAATTTTTATTTTATTTTCAATTCTAAACTTACATATTGGCATTGTATGGCGCTCCCTAGAATGAGCCCGTCTATTTCCAATCGTTCTATTTCCTCCGTTAGTAAGGGGCGGGGGTCCAGAAAACTTTTTAGGCCCGAGCGGAGTTTTCGGGGTCCCAAAGCTATCGGTTGTTGGGCCTGGCTGGGGCCAATGGTTCGGGATAGCTTTTGGCGGGGTTTGTTTCGTCGGGCTAGGCTTAGGTGACAAACTGGTTATTTTGTTGTTGTTGTTTACAACGTTGTTGTTTAAATATTCAAAAGCTAATTCAAATTTTTTGTGATCATAAAGATAAAAAAAATTTAATTCTATCTCTTTCCGAGTACCTTGGTCTTACTGGTGGTTGATTCATAGAGAACCCAAGATCTGACCTAAACGTAGAGATTTGATCACTTTAGAATCTAGATCAAGGTTCTTAATTTGTTCCGACCTTCAAATAGAGATTCTATCACTCTAGAATCTAGATGAGTTCTTAATCTTAATAGAATTTAGATCAGAACAAAATTGTAAAATCCGACAAATTTGTTCTTTCATCTTGGATTTTAAATTTTTTTTAGATGAGAATGAAACGTTAAAAAGATTAAAACTTAAGAGCTGAATAATATCTCACAACTTTACGAGCTAAGCGCTTCAATTCAATTTCCGTTAAGCTAGCTCCATCAAAAATTAAAAATCCTGAACCATGTCATCACTCCCCTTCCCACACCTCCCCCCTCTCCTCATTTGACGTGAGGTATTATCCCTAAGCGGCAACTTCACAAGTCTGTTCTGGCCGCCGCTCGGCCCATCCTCGGCCTCATTGTTGCCTGTGGCACCTCAGAAGGCCTGTCCTAACCGTAGAAGTACACTCGGGAAATTGCACATTTGGAAAGTTGCCACCTGGGAAATGGTCCCTTGGAAAGTCGTCCATGGGAAAAGGCATTCTTAAATGAAAATATTTGAGCATGAGCGCAAAAAAGATGGGAAGATATTTTTTTTAAATTCTTAAAATGTTTAGATTTTTTAGAGATGACTAATAACTTGAATTAGATTCATAGGTATGTATTTTATTTTTAACAACTTTTTTTCAAGGTTTTTATAAAAGATAATTACAAAATTGTACAGAACTATTTTAATTGAATTACAGTATTTAGATTTTTCCCACTTTGATATTCTGGGGGCCCCGGTACTCCTCTGCCGCTTTAGTAATTGTAAATTGGCGGTACAGTCCAAAGTAGGACTGCAAAGTTTGGCCCAGCACGGATATTCAAATGTACACCGGCGGGGCGTGCCGGGACTCTCCTTGTCATGAATGTGTATTTAATTGAGATTTTAATATGAATAGTTTGTTTCAACAAATACCGATGAGAACAAACTTATTCAATATTGTTTTATTTTAATTGGCTCATTTTTTTATTGTTTTAAGCTAAACCATCATACAATTTCATATTTTATATTTTCTGTGAGAGAATAAATATTACAGATTCTTTCTAAAATCATTAAAAATAGATACCTTAAAAATAAGTAGATATATTCCTGCATATGTTACTTAAAAAAACATAAAAATGATATAAAAACAAAATTTTTTTAGGATCTTAAAAATGTCTTAAGAGCTAAAGTGATTAGCTTTCAGCCTATACCCCCTTTCATTTTTCCTTTACTGTCCCTTTAACTTGTATAGTATAAATTATTGTAAAACTAGTAGTCCAGCTAGTAGTATCTATAAATATATAAAGTAGTAATCTCTGTTTGTTCGTTTGTATGTCCAATCATAACTCAGGAACCCCAGGAACTGCTCGCCTCAAATTTGAATTGGGGAACTCTGTAGAACCACGGGAATGTTCTGAGCTAGGTTTAAAAGTTTTTAGTTGAATATGTTGACTCTTGAAAAGGAAACTTTGCTTCAAGGCAAAGCTGGGTTCCCAAGCTAGTAATTAATATTACAACAATTAGTACAACTAACAGCAGTGTACGTGGTTGTTAAAGTATCACTTACCAGTACAAGGTCTATATAAAAAACATTAAGTGCAGTACCTGGCGTGCCCCATTCCTATAGTAGATGAATTAGGCAAAGTTTCAGGCTGCAAGCAACCTAGAATTATGTTCTTGTTACTAGTCTTTTTAATTCTTCATGGTTTATTTATAGAATTTGTGAGAAAATACATAAAAAATTTCTTTTGAAACCGGAATTAGTAAAGTGTCCATTTATATCACCCTTAGTCTACTAAAACAAGTGAATAGTCCTTTTAGATCAACCTATATCTACCTGGTTTACTAGTAAACAGTCCCTTTAAATAAACCTATATCTACCTGGTTTACTAGTAAACAGTCCCTATAAATCAACCAATATCTACCTGGTTTACTAGTAAACAGTCACTTTGAATAAACCTATATCTACCTGGTTTACTCGTAAACAGTCCCTTTAAATCAACCGATATCTACCTGGTTTACTAGTAAACAGTCCCTTTAAATAAACCTAGATCTACCTGGTTAACTAGTAAACTGTCTCTTTAAATAAAGCTAGATCTACCTGGTTTACTAGTAAACAGTCCCTTTAAATAAACCCAGATCTAACTGGTTTACTTGCAAACAGTCCCTTTAGATCAACCTAGATCTTCCTGGTTTACTAGTAAATAGTTCGTTTATATCAACCTAGATCTACCTGGTTTACTAGTAAATAGTTCGTTTACATCAACCTATATCTACCTGGTTTACTAATAAATAGTTCGTTTATATCAACCTATATCTACCTGGTTTACTAGTAAATAGTTCGTTTATATCAATCTATATCTACCTGGTTTACTAGTAAACTGTCCGTTTATATCAACCTATATCTACTTGGTTTACTAGTAAAAAGTCCCTTTAGATCAACCTATATCTACCTGGTTTACTAGTAATCAGTCCCTTTAAATCAACCTAGATCTACTTTGTTCACTAGTAAATAGTTCTTTTAAATCAACCAATATCTACTGGTTAATTTGAAACAGTCCCTGTAAATCAACTTTGATCTACCTGGTTTACTAGCAAACAGTCCGTTTATATCAACCTAGATCTACCTGGTTTACTAGTAAACAGTCCCTTTAGATCAACCTATATCTACCTGGTTTACTAGTAAACGGTCCCTTTAAATCAACCTAGATCTACCTGGTTTACTAGTAAACAGTCCCTTTAAATCAACCTAGATCTACCTGGTTTACTAGTTAACTGTCCCTTTAAATCAACCTAGATCTACCTGGTTTACTAGTCCCTGTCTGATGTTGATTAATAAAGAGTTGAATACATTCTTTTAAATCCAATTGTTCCAGGACAACCCTTGTTTCTTCATACACCTGGATATACATTCATTAATTCATTCATCCATGTCGCCCATTCGTTAATTCATCCTTCATTCACCCATCCTTTCATCAATTCTAAAATTCATTCATTCATTTATTCAGAAATTCAGTTGAAACTACTTAAATATGTCAAAATATCCGAGTAAGACCACAAAGCCTACGTACAGTGGGACTTGATGATTTCGTTCAAATTGAAGAACGATAAACCCCTGATTTTGGGTTCCATAGCCCAGTTTATCCATTCATTTATTCATCCTTTTATTCATCCTTTCATTACTTGATACTTTTATCTCACACAATAATTAATCCTGTCATTCATCAATCCATTCATATACGTTTAAATATTTATGCTTTTAATGGTTTATTTCGACATTTTTTTAATGTATATTAATAATATTATTTATCTCTGAATAACATTGCTGACAAGTAAAATAAAAAATTAATAGATTTATGAATTGATTGATTGATTGAGATTGATGGATTAATTAATTTATTGATTGATTGATTGATTGATTGATTTATTGATATTGATTAGTTGATTGATACCTCATCGTCTGCTACACATGTTGCAGAAAGAATGTTGCTTAGTTTCCAAACAGAATCCCGAAGAACGGAAAGTCGTCTTTGCTCCAAATCCTGAAACGTATAAATAAAAAAGATGCCGTCTTAGCTGTGAAATCAAAACTAATCTGCTCATACGTCATTTTTTCTGTACATAATTTGTATTGTCCTTTTTGCTCCGGGTGGTCATATTTCGGTCGTTATTTATGTCTCATCCTATATCGATAACCCTGTATCTAATTTAAAACTTGTTAATAACAGAAAGCATTTTTAAGAAGCATGAATCATCTGATAAGAATTGTTTTATTTTTAAATATTTTTCACCTGCAAAATATCAGCGGCTAGTTCTGTTTCTTTTTCCCATTGCTCACGAACCTCTTCTACATAATCTACAGAACCCCTGAATTAAATTATATTTTCTCATTTTGGAATTTCAAATCTCACTACTGCAAAAACCTCTAGTTTGAAAGTACTTACATTTTCTGATTTCGAAAAAAAGGCATTTAATAATCTGAAAAGTGTAAAGAAAATGTACAAAAACTAGCTTTTAAAACCTTCAATACCATTTTCTTTTTAAAAAAACATAAAATTTTCGCTCAAAAAGAAGGCATTTTATACAAACACTGGTTACCTTCGGAGTAACATAGACTAAGAAAGATTAAACATTTTTTTCTTTCAAAAATCTGCTTTTTTAATTTCACAGGCAACGCCGGGCACTTCAGCTGGTTATAATTATCATTATTATTATCATTATATTATTATAATAATTGCCTGTAAGCTGTTTCCGCTGATTCCATGCTGCTCCTAACCTTACTGTGACGTGCCGCTGCTTTTTCAGCAGCTCCACTCTCCAGACCTCCTCGGGCTACTTCCTAAAAGATTTTTTTAAAATAATTAATTAATGAAAATTAATTAGAAATAAAGTAAGTATTTCATTGTCTCCTTATTTCCATAGATTACAGAAAGGAATTGAGCAAAAATTATATTTTCTAAACTTTTGATAAATCAAACTATATATTTTTTAGGCCAAAAATAATTTTCACCATCAGGTTGCAAATCAACCAATATTGTGAGGGGAAAACCTGCAGTAAATTATTGCAGGTAAATGTTTATGAATTTGGTGTGTGCACTTCTACTGTTAAATATACATTTTCTAAAGATATCATATAAATTCTTTTCGGCTTTACTTTTTTATATAAAAAGTAATCAACGTTAGATTTGTTACGTTCGATGGAATGCAATAGATTTCATTCTTGATTTTTTTCCAATCTATTTGAGAGAAATCCTTGAAATTGGCGAATTTTCATTTAATTCAGGGGACATTAGTTCCAAAACTAAAATTGATAGACTATGTTTTTGGGATCCCGGCTCATATCGAGAGTAAAAGTCGATTTAAAAACTATACCTATAGTTTATTAAGCATGGCGAGGACAACTAATTCCAATTTAAAACTCCTTTCTACAATCAAAATTTTAAAAAGAATTCTTTTTATATTAAAGCCTTTGACCGTTTTCAAGAAAATGTCAGGGTTTCTATTTTCAAACATATCCTGAATTTGAATCATGGTCGCGTTTTCGACACATTATTATAAGTTAAAAGTTGACATTTTTTGTTTTAATATATAGTTTTAGCTATTTTTAATAAATGTTTGGTGTATTTTTGTTCAATTCGGCTTGGATTTAGAGATATATACGCTTGAAGAAGATAATCTTGCAGATTTGGCCCATTTCTAACACTCACAGTTAGAAATGGTCCAAGTGTAAGTTTTAGAAAAACTTTCCCCTGAAATGTATGGTGTAGTTGTGCTCCACTCGGCTTGGATTTAACGACATATACGCTTGGAAAAGATAACTTTGCAGACTTTTCTAACACCCAGTGTTAGAAATGGGCCAATTGTAAGTTTTTGAACTAATTTCCCCTGAAATCAGATGAATTTGTTTGAACCTGATGATAGGCGTGGCTAGTCTGTACCTCCTCCCTGCACCTTGCCTCGTAAACTTTTCTAAATAATTTTATCAAATTCAGTTTATTTAATTAATTAAGGGAGAAACTATTTCATCGAAAATATCAAATCCTTTTTTCACAAGCAAAATATTATACAGAAGCAAATTATTAGCAACATTGAATAATGGAAAAATCAAAACCTATTCATGGTAATTAAGGATTAAAAAAAACCAGAGATTATGAGGGAAGGTCGATTTATCATTTTTTTGGTATCAAAAAATGTGTATTGAATCGCTGAATACCGTCGTCTATTGGTTTTTATGTAAGGCTAAAAAATTATTTTTTTTTATTCGGACAAAAATCTTTCTAAAAACCCGGTCTTTTGTTTAAAATTTGCTTAAGATTTGCTTAAAATTTGATTAAAATTTGATCAAAATTTGCTTAATTCTAAAGGAATTTTTACGAATTTAATGCTTATGAAAACTCAGTGTTTCAAGACGGATATTTAGATATTCATCTTAATTTATTTAGACGAAGTTTTTTGTCTTTTTATTTTTTTCCGGCTTACAGTAGTGTTTTGAGTTACACAAAAAGAAACAATCTGAATTCTCAAATCTTTTTTAAAAATGTAGTTTAGTTTAGTTTAGTTTAGTTTAGTTTAGTTTAGTTTAGTTCTGTATTTGCACTAGACAAAAATGAATACCCTACATTGCACCAGATTCCGTACAAGTGTATAATGTATATGAAATGTATAATGTATATGGAATGCGTCAAAATGATATTAAAATCCACTCTTGGAAACTTTAATCTAAGTCGCAAAATACTAACTTAGAAAAAATATTTTTGTACAATAGAACCCATAAAACGGCGGGATAATAAGACGGCTGCCACGGTTTAATAGAAGTACCAGACAGACTTTTAGGCCGCTAGAGAAAGTGTACACACTCTTAATTAAAAACTCAAAATAGTGATATTAAGGACAAAAAGTCGCTTAATAAACGATTTGTAGTTACATTTTAAACGATTTTAAATCGGTATTTTTGAATTAGAAATAACTTTATTTTAGACGACTGAAAGTCGCCATAATAAGCGATTTAAAATCGTACATTTTTAGGCAGGAAGTCAATGTACAGTGTACATGCAGACTATAGACAGAAAAATGGGACAAATTCCAAATAAATCGATTTTGCAGTATAGGCAGACCTATTATATTCGATTTTCAAGCTACCGCTTTATAATATAATCAAAGAAAAAATTTTTTTCTTAAAATTCGTCTTCGTTTTTTTTGGGTTCCACTGTTCATACAAATTGTCAGTAGCTCTAATTTTCACAGATTACTCTTCTTTAATTTAATGAGAAAAAAATACCTAAGTTCATGTTGCCGCTTATACGCTGTCTTCAATTGAGCTTGCAATGATCTAAAAATAAGTTTTCTAAAATAATATTTATATTATCTTTATATTAGAAATAATGAAGTAAAAAAACAAAATCTGTTTTCTGTGTTTTTTCTACATTTTCTCTCATTATTTTTGTTATTGCAAGATTTCTCAAGAAAATCTTTTATTATCTAATCAGAAAAAGAACAATCTTATATTCGAAGTAGAGTGTCGGAATATATGCATATTTCTCTTTGTATACATTGTAAAACAAAAACAAAAAAGTTCACAGATTTTCTAAAAAAATCGTGGATTTTCAAAATTTAATGAAAATCTACTTTTTGTTGGAGAATAATTTTTGAAATTTTCATTATCCATAAACATTCCCTGGGGCAAGTGAGGTCCTACACAAAATTTGGGCCCAATCAATTCAGGGCCGTTTTGACGTTTATTGGATACAAACAGACAGACACCCATGCATACTTTATATATAAACTAACTAGACGTTGAGGGCGCTTCGCGCCCACTTTCCTGAAATTAATTTGAGCTTTTAACTGTTACTCTAAAAATCGGCCATTTCAAATTATTTTCAAATTTTGGCGGATTTTTGTATTCGAATTGGTGTATTTTCAAAAAAAACTGTTTTCCAATATTATTTCCCCCAATTTTGATGTTCCATAAACTTTCCCGGCCTGGGGTTATGTGTGGTCCCACACAAAATCGGTTCAGCCGTTTTGACGTTTATTGGATACAAAAAAAGAGACAAAACAGACAAGCAACGTATATATTTAGAATAGATGTATGTATTTAATTATGAATATATGTATGATATCTATAGACCGTAATATCCATCCATGTTTAGACTAAGGAATAATTGAAAGTTTATGATAAAAATTGTGATGAAAAATATTAAATTATATCTGAGGACAGTAAACGTAATTTAAAGAAACTCTTCATTTAAAGGGAATGTTCGCGAACACTCCCTTTAAAAAAAGAGTTGCATTATTACTGGCAATGGTAACCTATACGCCTTAATCTTGATAACAATGAGAAAGTTTTCCATTTTCAAGAGTGTTGAATTTTAACAATTTCCTTCCACAATGTTGGCGGCTATAAATCCGCAAAGTCACTTTCACAGAGAAGTCACAATTGAAATGCTCATTTTTTAAACTGATCAGCTAGGATTTCTTAATCATTCTTGATTGTAGAAAGGTTTGAAGGGAATCAGAAATGAAGGGACACTTTAGATTACCTTTTTAGCCCCTTTAATAAACCATTAAAAGCCAATGAGATTACAGAACTAGAGAAGACGTAGTTGAACTAGTCTTGTCTAGTTCAGCCACATCATCTCTCCCATTTAAAAAAAACTGAATAGTTCCCCTTTACTCAAGTTTGTTTATTTCCGATATCTTTGCAGCCTGATGATTGATGTATCAAACAAGAATTCTACTAGTTCAAAGATAAAAATTGAAATATAAAGGTTCACCATTATGTTGCAAAATTATGGGGATTAAGAAACTAAATTTTCTGACGAGTAATCCGTAATATTACCGAACATTTTCCTCCGACCATCTTTTCTTCTCCATTCCCTCCTCTAGATATTCTGCCAGGTTAACCAGCTCGTTCTCCAGCTGCAGGCTTGCCTAACATACAGGGAGAAAAATACAAATGTGGAATAGAAAGACGACCGTTGGACTCAAATGGTCCAATCAATGCAAACCTTTCTGAAAACTCCGGTTCACTGTACGTACACTGTACATACACTGTACATACACGGTACATACATTGTACTTACACTGTACATACACTGTACATAAACTGTACATACACTGTACTTAAACTGTACATACACTTTACATACACTGTACAAACACTATACATACACTGTTCATACGCTGATACATTCACTGTACATACACTGTACATACACTGTACATACACTGTACATACAATGTACATACACTGTACATTGTATTTTACATACACTGTACATACAATGTACATAAATTGTACATATATTGAACGTGCACTGTACATGCACTGTACATACACTGTACATAAACTTTACATGCACTGTACATATACTGTACATACACTGTACATACACTGTACATACACTGTACATATATTGAACATGCACTGTACATGCACTGTACATACACTGTACATAAACTTTACATACACTGTACATATACTGTACATACATAGCAGATCAGTTCTAGCGCAATACTTACAATAGAAATTGTATTTTTGAAAGATGAAAGATTTTAGAAAATATATTTTGAATTAAACACCTGTGAGTGAGCTAATCCTACAGTCTCAGTGTGATTTTTTAAACTTTCCCATAGTTTCCTCCCTCCAACAAGCTCCTCACCACCTAGAGTGTAGAGTGTAGAGTGTAGAGTGTAGAGTGTAGAGTGTAGAGTGTAGAGTGTAGAGTGTAGAGTGTAGAGTGTAGAGTGTAGAGTGTAGAGTGTAGAGTGTAGAGTGTAGAGTTTAGAGTGTAGAGTGTAGAGTGTAGAGTGTAGAGTTTAGAGAGTAGATTGTAGAGTGTAGTGTATAGAGTGTAGAGTGTAGAGTGTAGAGTGTAGAGTGTGGAGTGTAGAGTGTTGAGTGTAAAGCTATGAAGAAGAGAATAAGTGTTATTTTAGAAAAGTTCTCTATCTAAATTACCGCATGAAGTTTTCGCAAGTTTCTGAAGTGCTTTCCCATACTGGTCTTCTATCTGCGACCTTCAAAATACATTTAGTTAATTAAAAAGTAAATGGAGTCGTGGTTCGTGCTTGATGCTGTGTAATAGTCTAAAATTAACTAAAAAAGACAAAGACAGAAATTGTCAGAATTTATCCCTTTTCCAGAGTAAAAAACCTAGATACTTCTAAAATGGTTTAGAGAAAGGATTCAAGGACACCGGTTGTGTGTGTGAATAAGCGTAGATAACTCTTTAAATTAATGAGAGTCACTTTAAAATATTGTCAACAGCCTCTTTAAATAATTAACAATGAATACAGTATTTGATGAATTTATGCTTACTAATTCCACTGCTGACTTTTTGCTTTTTACAAAAAAACAATGATTAAAAAGATAAAAACTCCACATATCCCTCGAGTTTAGAAAATAATGTGTCCAGACAATGGCTGCAAAAGCAGAATAAGATACGAGAAAACTGCAGCAATTTCATTCTTTTCTGTTTTCTAGTTGTATTTCTAAACTTTACAACATACTGTGTAGTATACACTAAAGGGTGTCCCTAAAATACTGTATTTCAGCCAAACATAGAAACCATTCTGAGAAGGGTGGTCGAAAAGAATGCACGTTCTGTTTCGTAAACCCCCAAAAAATAAGTATTTTTGGGACACTCTGGAGAAGAGGGTTATAGCCCCTTGAGACCTGTTAAAAAGACCTGGTTGGAAGTATCAACTGAAAGCATGAACACTGAACAGGGGTTTGAGTTTATTGATGGAAGATAATAGAATTGGTTTCACGGCAAATTAAAGTAAAGTAAAGGCGTACACAGATATAAATCTAGGGGGGCAAAATATGCGCGTAGCGTTATATTTGTTAGCTATGATAGCTGGCCAAACGGCTGGACCAAATTGGCTAAAAAATAGATTTTTTTCTTCAAATTTCTTTGTTTTCCAAAGTGTTTTTAAAATTACACGGGCAACGCCGGGTACTTCACCAAGTAATTACTTTTTATAAATTATTTCAACATGGTACTTTTGGGTAGGTTTGATTAAAGTGACATATTAATAACCAATACTTCAAGTTAAGACCATATGCGTGCAAGGGTGTAAGGCAAGGAGAGTTAATTGCGGTCGTGTATACTCTGCGTACACATTGAAACCAGTTTTCTTAGGGCGGACATTGTAAACAATAATAGATGCATCAGTGTTCGTTTAGTATCCGAGGAGGTTAAAAGCATTAAATTTTGATAATTTTAATAATTTACAGAATAGTTTCCTATGACCAGAATATTTCATTGATTTTTTATGTGAAAGATGGATCCCATGTCAGGCTTCGACATCCGTCTTGTGTTTACATTAGCGCCCAGAGACAGTACACTGCAGTACAAAAGATGTGTACACTTCTGAAATAACTTTCCTTGCAATACATCCTTGTATGCGTGCAGAGATTTAAAATAGGACTGTGGACATAATTTTCAAGTGATCTTCTATATAAAAAGTGCCATGTTTGATTCCCACGGTTCGTACATAATTAACCTAATAATTGTGTACAGGGTACTCTTGTGAATCAGGCATATCTCTCTTTAATTCAAGTGTCTTTAAGATTAAAACGATTACAAGAATATAATTTTAGCGGTAGGAATGGATATTAAACTAATTATTGTTATACATTGAACAAAGAGCCAAACATACAACAACTGAAATATATTATTTTACCCTCCGCCCTCCTCTTTTACAAAAGTGCTTATTGCGCCCCTGACAACGACAAACTCGATCTTTTAAACCAATCCATAAAAAATACCTTTGTCTGAGAAACTCTATATACTCCTTACTAAGAATCCTTCCCTGGTTACAGTGCTTTACTAGCTCAGAGAATCCACTGTAGTTACCAACTTCACTGTTCTAAATTAGAGTTGGGCATTATTATCAGTTTTTTTTAACAACTTTTACAATTTATTTTTACAATTTTGTTGTAATTGCCATACGTCGGTGCGGCATTCTTGCTGTTTCTCAATATGTAATATCTAATTTATTGGCTTTGTAGAATTTTTTTTTCATTCTTGGATTTCCTTACTTGGTGCTGTTTATACGCGATACAAAGCAAATAGATTTACAAATGACTTATTTAATAAGTTTTTAAGTTGATTGGGTGTATGCTCATATTGGACTATTTAAAGTCTTAAATTGAGTCGAAAAGTCGTCTTACTAATTCCAAGTTTTCTGGTCCTCAATGTAAATATTGAAGGGGTTTAGGCTTTCAGGAGGCTTAACAAAAATCTAGTTTGTTTATGAAATTATAAACAATATGCCAAAAGATATCAACATGAAGGAACAATTTTCGAAAACCGTTCAGGCTTATACCTTTTGCCAGAGCCAAGATATAATGTGTAAGTATATGAGAAGGTATGATGTGTAAGTATATCAGAAGGTGTATTGTGTAAGTATATGAGAAGGTATGATGTGTACAAATATGAGAAGGTATGATGTGTAAGTATATCAAAAGGTATATTGTGTAAATATATGAGAAGGTGTATTGTGTAAATATATGAGAAGGTGTATTGTGTAAATATATGAGAAGGTATATTATGTAAGTGTATGAGAAGGTATATTGTGTAAGTATATGAGAAGGTATATTGTGTAAGTATATGAGAAGGTGTATTGTGTAAATGTATGAGAAGGTATATGGTGTAAGTGTATGAGAAGGTATATTGTGTAAGTATATGAGAAGGTATATTGTGTAAGTATATGAGAAGGTGTATTGTGTAAATATATGAGAAGGTATATTGTGTAAGTATATGAGAAGGTATGATGTGTAAGTATATCAAAAGGTATATTGTGTAAATATATGAGAAGGTGTATTGTGTAAGAATATGAGAAGGTATATTGTGTAAGAATATGAGAAGGTATGATGTGTAAGTATATCAGAAGGTGTATTGTGTAAATATATGAGAAGGTGTATTGTGTAAATATATGAGAAGGTATATTGTGTAAATTTATGAGAAGGTATATTGTGTAAGTATATGAGAAGGTATATTGTGTAAGTATATTAGAAGATATATTGTGTAAGTATATGAGAAGATATATTGTGTAAGTATATGAGAAGATATATTGTGTAAGTATATGAGAAGATATATTGTGTAAGTATATGAGAAGATCAATCAAATCATCAAATCAAATCAAATCATTTATTTCTGCAGAAAAAAAAACCAATATTTACGAATTAATTTTTAAAAATCACAATATGTAAAATATTTCGTCAATAATTTGTTATACTTTTAAAACTCCGAAAAAATTAAAAATTTCGTTTAAATGTTCCCCCCCCTAAAAGTAAAATTCATCTAACTTAAAGATGGATTGAAAAAAAATTATATTCAAAATATATACTTTATACAAAATTGTTTTTCAAAATTTTACTTAAAATCGACCTTCCTTAAAGAAAGTGTTTGCGAAAAATGATATCGAATTAAATTTGATGTCGATCGCTACTAATTTTACTATTATCTGATGGTATATTTATTAAAATCAATTCGATATTTATTGCTTGTAAGATCTGAATGATTAATAGTAAATTTAATTAAATTAGTTAGGATCTGAGTCACAATAAACTATAATAGGGTCGTGGTTATTAAGGCAGTGAGTGGTAAATTTGGAACCCATTTTCACCCGTTCAACAAAAATTTTAGTACTTTCAATTTTATACTTTTTTTGGACTTGATATTGTAAATATTAAACTATGTAAAGTCTTTAACGCTATTTTTAACAGATATTGAACTAGAGATAAAAATATGACTAAAAACATGTCCATACACTTCGTTAATTCTTTGTTTTACGTGGAGTGGACTAATGCACCTCCGTGAATTTACAGCGTTCTTTGGTATGATTCGTTTTTAACCCTTTTTTTCCTTATATACGCCAACAGATGAAAGTAAGATAAGTTGTGATCGATATTGATCTCCTTTCATTTTTCGCAAACATTCTCTTTTCTAATTGTTCATTGTTCATAGCCCAAGTTTCAATTGCTTTTTTTTTTTTTAGAAAACTCCGGGGTTATGTTTCATGTAACAAAACAAATATAGCCCCTCCCCCCCATCATTCAGAGGATTTAAAATCAAATGATCAAATCTCACCGCTCTGTTCACGATTTTGAGAATAAAAAAGTCCTTGAGATAATTAAGCATTGTTCTTTCAACCCATTTAATTTTTCTTTATTGTCATTCAACATTATACAGAGGTTTTTGAACCCTTTCCTTCAAAAATTAAAAATTAAATTTGCATAAAATGTTTTAAACCAAAATATGTAGAAAAAAAAGAAAACATATATTTTATTTGCCCTTCCCCTCCCACCCCCCGGCGTGCAAGGGGCCTTCATAAACAAAAAGCTACATATTTAATTTTACATTTCACATTTATTAAATCATTTTAAAGGGATTTTGAACGTGATCCGAACTAACCCTTGATTCTAGTGTTACAATAGCAATAATCGCAACATTTCCTTTTCTCCAATATCTGAGAAACAAAAGTTAAAAAGTAAAAAATAGTTGTTAACCAACCTAGAGCTTTTCACCTATTATATTTCTTTATAGAAATCAAAATGAAAGTAAAAAAAATTGAGTATAAAGGGAGTGTTCGCGAAAAAAAGAAAGGGGGTATAGGCTTAACGCGATAAAAAGGCTTTGATCGCTACTAATCTTACTTCTATCTGTTGCGTCTATAAGGAGAAAATTGTTAAAAACAAATTCGGAAAGATGCAACACATTCGTATATTGTTAATATTTCATAATATTTTTGATTTTTTAAAAAATAATTTTCGCTGGCGCTGGATTTTTGAATATTTCTGGAAAATATGAAAATGTCGTCTTCATTATCAAAAATCCTCGAAACAGGAATAAATGTTTACAAAAGTAACTCTCAGATCATGAAAAACACAAAATATTATGAAATATCAACTATTTACGAATGCGTCGAAAAATAATCGATGAATATTGTTTGTAATATCTGAATGATTTGTTGGAATTAAATTGATTTGTTTACGATCCAAGTTGAATGTTGCATTTTTCTGAATTTGTATGGACACTACGTTCTTCGGTATTAGTTGTTTTTAACAATTTTCTCCTTATAGACGCAAAAGATAAAAGTAAGATTAGTAGCGATCAAAAGCGCCTTTTTATCGCATTAAGCCTATACCCCCTTTCATTGTTCGCGAACACTCCCTTTAAAGGGAGAGACAGACTGGACATGAAACAGCAGAAAATGCAGTACTGAAGAGAACAACTTTTGGATTCATTTCATATCAATGAGACGAATGGGGGAAGACAGGCGGCCATAAGCCACAACATTTTTTCCTTCCATGCCACAGATAAGCTTTTATGTCTTCCGGACAGCCATAAGCTACAACCGTTCGGTCTTCCATGCCACAGCATGCGATTTTCCCCGCAATTATTACGTTTTCAAATTGTAAATTTAGTGCATTGACATTGCAATTTTCTAAAATCCAGCCACGTTATGCAAAAGATATATAAAATGAATAAAGATATTTACATTTAAGTTTTGAATTTAAATAATAATGATTCCTTTTAATGTATACTGCTCAACTTACTTTCCCCAAAAAATATATTGACTCTAAAATGGCTTGCTTTTAAAAACATTATGAACAATAAAATTTATGCAACGAAACAACTCTTTTTAAGTTTAAAGGGCACCTATAACGAAAATTTACAATATTTAACGAGAAATTTTTGTTTTCAACTTACCCAGAAATGAGTTTTGAAAGATTTAAGCTCCACAGTAGATTCTGTATTCACCATTTTATAAGTTGTATATTATAATCATCTACATAAATCAATTATTATGTAAGATTATAAAAAAAAACGTCTAAAAGTGACAATTTAATTTTTTTTGAATACGATAAACAAATTAATGACTAATTGACAAAATTTCAATATTATGAAGAACTATTATATAAAAATAATATAATGGATTTTAAAAGACTCTCGTTGCAATTTCAATATTATGAAGAACTATTAAATGAAAATGATATAATGGATTTTAAAAGACTCTCGTTGCAATTTCAATATTATGAAGAACTATTATATGAAAATGATATAATGGATTTTAAAGGACTCTCGTTGCAATTTCAATATTATGAAGAACTATTATATGAAAATGATATAATGGATTTTAAAAGACTCTCGTTGCAATTTCAATATAACTTTGTTTAAAGAAGGGTATCACTTTTCACTGCAAAGGAATTGAGTCCTTCCCACAAACTCAAATTTTTAATCCATATATCTTTGCAACCTGATGTTGTAAATCTTTGAGATTTCAAACTTTGATCATTAGATCTAACAGAAATCATAGTTTGAAATATGTATAAGGTGTACCACATTGGGTTTGTAAAGATATAGGGATTAGAAAATCAGAGTTTGTGGCAAAGACTTAATTCCATAGAAAAAGGTAAAATTTATGCGACAGCACTGGTACGACAATGTGACCTCGTAGCTCCTCTAGTTTTGATCTTATACGCACGTCGGCTTAAAGTATGAGGAGAGCAAATTTTTCCGGTAAAATATTAGAAATTTAAAACATTTTTTATAATTGTCATAAAGTGTCGCTTGAAATTAGGACTACAGTCCTAATTAAATTTGTCTATTATCTATATCTTTGCAACCTGATGGTGTAGACCTTTGTCATTTCAGATTATGAACGTTAAACCCAATGAACTAAACACAGGAACGCCCAACTCTGATATACGCATATTGTGTTCTGTACACTGTGGGAGAAATGTAGACAAACCCAGTGTCTCCACAGCCGTTGAAGGGAAAGAAATAAAGTCCTGATAAACATTTTTCCTAGTTTCTGAGGTTTATAACTTTCTTTTAAAATTTAAAAACTTTCTCCTAAGGTTTAAACTTTTCCTCTTAATGTTTAAATCCTTCCTCCCAATGTTTGAATCCTTCCACTCAATGTTTGAATCCTTCCACCCAATGTTTAAATCTTCCTCCTAATGTTTGAATCATTCCTTCCAGTGTTTCAATCCTTGCTCCCAATATCTAAACTCTTCCTTCCAATGTTAAAATCCTTACTCCCAATTTTTAAATCCTTCCTCCCAAGGTTTAAATTCGACTCTCAAAAAGTCCTCTAAATTGTTCCTGTTTACTGTACGCTGAATTATTGCAAAAAATGCTGAAGTTCCTGGCCTCGTGAGAGGATGTGACGAAGAGATATTGGATTAAACTTTTAGTGAATGATAGATTTTTTAGCAAACTGAAAATAACTTAGCGGAACATTAAACGAAAGCAGTAAGAAGAATGTAAAAACATTTTAACAAACAGTTTATGTTTATGTTTATGTTTATGTTTTAGAACTATGCTAATAAAATGTTTAAGCATGTAGATATGGATGTAGATATGCTTTTAAAAAAATAAATTTATGAAACGACTAAAATAAATGTATTAAAATGTAAATGATTTAATGTTTTCCCGGATTTTATGTTTTTATGTTTTATTTACGTTTGAACAGTATACAATGCTATATAAATGAAATATAAATGAAAGTGCATGTGTCCCCAAATAAGTGTGTAAATGTACTGTTGTGAATCAAAGTTACTTAAATTTAAGTATACAGTATCGTTAAGTATTGAATGCGCAAATAATGAGGATTTTTTTTGCAAAAAAATTCTTGAACCAATTTGATTTGATTTTTTTTCTTCTGTCGATTAAATCTCCTTAAATAAATGTTACAATTATCAATCACTAAACTGGAGAACGCGTTTCTTTTTATTTGTAATTTTTCCTTTGCTTTTATATTCAAACAATTTTTAAAAATATCGTTTCACATTGTGACAATCTTGGTTAATATAATTTCCATCTCTTGCCTCTAAATAATTTATTCGCACGATTATAAGTAGCAGAGCGCGCTTCATAAATTATGATATTCATACCTACAATAGCAATATATTCTTATTCCCCGCACAATATGATGCGTTGCCCCTGAAATCTTTGTTTTGATCTTCTCCCACTGCAGTACATATACGGCGGTTCCTGGTCTATATATTTCTTGGTTCAATCTAGCATAATTCATATTTTAAAATATCAAAAATCTAATTGAATCAGGTTGAAAGGGTAAAAAGTAAAAAATTGCTTCATTGCTTAAATAGTAACCAATACTTCTTACAATGTTTCTACAGTCTGAGCTAGGATACGTACCTATAAAAAGCTCAAGTGCTAATTTTATCTTAATATGTTTAAACAAAAACTTTCACTCTCTATCTCTCTTAAACTATGTTGTGCAGTGTGCAGTGTGCAGTGTGCACTAGTAAACTGTACCCCTATTCATGACCCAAACCTGGGAATGGGAAATGTATAGGAGCAGGAGGTAGTTTTTTACTAAATATTGGTAGCTTTTTGAAATTAAAATGATACAGCAGAGGGAAGACAGCCGCGTTGCACTATTGACAGCAGTGAGACAGCCACACAAATTAGTGCGTGGGGGCAACGCCGAGTAGTACGATAAGAACTAAAAACGGTGGAATAGAAAGATGACATTATAGCAACAATTATAAGTAATTGATGTTATTACAAAGCAATTAGAGATATTATTTTATCACTTATAAGTGAAATGGGTCTGTTTACACTGCGCAATTACTTTGTTTATGTTTGTTCGACTATTTATAGTCAACACTTTAGTCAGAAAATCGTCTTCCTATTCCACAGATTTATGGTTCTCACTTTTGTAAATGCAAGTGATAATCAATAGCAAGCGTTATGATTGTATTCATTGTATATTGTGAATCGAGTATGCCCCTCTTTAAATGGAAAGCCACTTGAATTTACAAGGACAGTCCCTTTAATCTGCTTCATTTTTCACGTCAAACTAAAGAAAATTGTTTCACGTCAAACTCCAGCATGTAAAACAATGCCGTCTTAACGTGTATCTAAGTTATAAAATCTATTTATTTTATTTCCTTCTTAAAGTCTCCATTGAGAAGAACGTGTAAATGTTTTGAATTTCTAATATTTAACCAACTAAAGTTGCTTTTCTCAAATACTTAGTCAAAACTCGAGGAGCTACGAGTTTACAAACTCTTACCAGTAATTTCGCAAACAATTTGAATAATTCTTTTTAAACCTTGATAAATTTTTGATATTTTCCAGCAACACTAGGATAGAATATTGTACGAAAATATTCTATATATAAGAAGGGGTAGAGTAGAGGAGGGGGGGGGAATCTATGCTTTCTAATTTTAAGAGTGGGCGTTGTAAGATAATGAATTTTAAAGGGACTGTTATTATAATTTTAAATGACCTTCTACATTTATTCACAACCCATATTTGGAAGATATCGTCGATTTTTAGTTTGAAAAGTGTTTAATTCTGATAATTTTCGCCATTGTTTCTGCAGCGAAAATCTACAAGTCAATTTCAAAAGACACTAGAACTAAAAATAATCCAATTCTCAAAGTAAAACATGGAACTCTTATCTAATCTTGATCAGACAAAACTTTTATGGGAACCAGAAACCAGTGTGGGAATCAACCCACTCTAGAAATAAAAGGTCTCATGAAATTACGTGTACAGTTCCCTTAAGTGCTTAAATACATCACAAAATGTATGTTCATCAAAACATTAATACTGGTTATAATAATAATAATAATAATGATAATAATAATAATTATAATAATAATAATAATTTAATAATGTTAATAACAACAATCATAATAATTCAGATTATTACATCTGGAACATATAAAATAGATATTTTATAAAGATGGATCCAGAATGGTCTACACATTGCAGATATAAACATAAGGAATGATTTTCTAAACAAATAAACATAAGGAAAAATATTCCTCTCACTGAATCGGCTTATTCGTATCACTAAGTATTTACAAGCAACTTTTTAAAAGATACATATTAATACGCATTGGAAAACTAAGCAGCAGCTGGGTTTCCTATCGGAATTCCGTTGCGCGGAATTGCGCGCAACTGTTGTCGTATAGCGCGGATTTGTGCGGAATTGCGCGGAAATTACAGTGTCCGAAATTGCGCGCAAGTAAAAATCCTCTTACGTTGGAAATCCTATCAACAGCTGAACATCATTTCAAGAAACTATCTTTGCACACTGAACAGTGATCCTTACATTGCAAGCTCTTACTCCTAAATAGATAAACGTTGTGAAAATTTAAATCCAGGCTGTTTAATAAAAAAAATCTTCACTCTTTTCTCAAGAATGGAAATAGTGGAAAGTTTTCTAAGTTTGTATTTAGCAGAAGAAAGTTTATCTGGAAAAGTTTTTGTGTTTCTTCTGCTTTTAATTTCTTCCGTGTTTCAGTAGTTTGCCTTGTTCAGCAGTTTCCTTGTCATTTTATAGCTTTACGCCAAACTAACAGTTAGAAGCTAACCATGCTTTTCTTTGGTCCTAACTATGTATATTGATTGGTCCTAACTATGTATATTGTTTAGTCCTAACTATATATATTGTTTGGTTCTAACTATATATATTATTTGGTCCTAACTATGTATATTGTTTAGTCCTAACTATGTATATTGTTTGGTCCTAACTATGTATATTGTTTGGTCCTAACTATGTATATTGTTTGGTCCTAACTATGTAAATTGTTTTATATTCTTTGGTTCTAACTATGTTTATTGTTTGGTCCTAACTATGTATATTGTTTGGTCCTAACTATGTATATTGTTTGGTCCTAACTATGTATATTGTTTAGTCCTAACTATGTATGTTGTTTGGTCCTAACTATGTATATTGTTTAGTCCTAACTATGTATATTGTTTGGTCCTAACTATGTATATTGTTTGGTCCTAACTATGTATATTGTTTGGTCCTAACTATGTAAATTGTTTTATATTCTTTGGTTCTAACTATGTTTATTGTTTGGTCCTAACTATGTATATTGTTTTATATTGTTTGGTCCCAACTATGTATATTGTTTTATATTGTTTGATTCTAACTACGTTTATTGTTCGGTCCTTACTATGCATATTGTTTAGCCCTAACTATGTTTATTGTTTTATATTGTTTGGTCTTAACTATGTATATTGTTTTATATTGTTTGGTTCTAACTATGTTTATTGTTTGGTCCTTACTATGTATATTGTATTATATTGTTTGGTTCTAACTATGTTTATTGTTTGGTCCTAACTATGTATATTGTTTGGTCCTAACTTTGTATATTTTTTATATTGTTTGGTCCTAACTATGTATATTGTTTTATATTGTTTGGTTCTAACTATGTTTATTGTTTGGTCCTAACTATAGTTCTAACCACATTGTTCGGTGCTAACTATATTATTCAGTGCTCACCACACTGTTCGGTGCTAACCATATTTTTTGGTCCTAACTAAAGTTCTAACCACATTGTTTTATGCTAACCACATTAATAAGTGCTAATTACACTGTTTGGTCCTAACCACATTGTTCTGCGCTAACCCCACTATTTGGTCCTAACTATATTGTTTGGTTTCAACTATATTGGTAAACACATTGTTTGCTCCTAACTATATTGTTTGGTGCTAATCACATTATATTATCCTAACCACATTGTATTATCCTGACCACATTGTATTATCCTAACCACATTGTATTATCCTAACCACATTGTATTATCTCCTGACCACATTGTATTATCCTGACCACATTGTATTATTTTGACTACATTGTATTATCCTGACCACATTATATTATCCTGACCACATTGTATTATCCTGACCACATTGTTCGATGCTAACCAGACTGTTCGGTACTAACCCCATTGTTTAATGGGACACGTAGCAGTATGCTTAGATGTCAAGGGGAGGGGGTTCCTACTAGCCCATGCAGGAAAGGCAGGGGGGGGGGATATTAACTTTAGTTATCTCTATTATCTTCACTGCATGCACAATTTGCAAAATTTGATAAAAGTTTAGTTGTAAAAATTAATAATACAAGATGCAAAACTTTAAAGCGTAAACAGTACAAGTTGTCATCAGAATAGTTAAGTATAATGACGACCTGAAAATGTTGTTTTATTTATAAGTTTACGATATGAATGTACGAGAGAAAAGTCTAAATATAATAGTTTCATACTAGATTATGTATTAGTGTACAACTAGATTATGATTCAGTGTACAACTAGATTATGTATTAGTGTACAACTAGATTATGTATCAGTGTACAACTAGATCATGTATTAGTGTACAACTAGATTATGTATCAGTGTACAACTAGATTATGCATTAGTGTACAACTAGATTATGTATTAGTAGAGGAAAAATGTGAATTCAATTTAATGTAAAATAATGAAGCTTTACCTCTTTTTATATTAAAATTGGATTATTTTTATCAGGATTTATTACTTTTTAAGATTGAAAAAAATGACGATTTCTACCTTAATTTTGATTTGAAAAAAAAACGTTGTGACTCCGATATGTCCAGATGTAAACGAAGGCTCTCTAGGATTTATGTGTAAAGTCCTCTTTAAACGAATAAAAAGGCCTGTTTTTTTTTATTTTTTCAAAAATCTTAGAATCTGTAGACTTTATAGATCGTAACTTAATTATTCTTGGCATTGTTATTTTGTATTGATTTCATTGTGTATATATATACATATATTCAAAAATATATATATTCATTTGTGTATATATATATATATATATATATATACCAATGTAGTATGATATTGATATGTAAATATATATACAGTGATACAATGTTTATTTGGCAATATCCAAATATCCATCTATCTATCATCAATATATGGTTCTTGCTTGCAATATTGAGAAATATTCCTAATTAAGCATGTTTTTTTTACAAACCAACCTTCGATACTATTGTTCGATCAGGGTCTTTTCTACAATTCAATAGATGAAAGACATAGATAGTTAAACTTTTTTTAACCCATTTTTGACCTTTATTTTTATCGGTTCGTTTCACGTTGGTTGAATTATAATAGTTCAAGTTTTAAAAAATTGTGGTTATTGCGATTGTAAATATGCCCGTAAGATTTGTTATTGAAAAATCACAATTTATGTTTTTTTATCAAAAGTAGTAAAGGCAAAGAAAGTTCTGTTGTATTATATCTTTATTTATAATAGAAGTTTAATAATAAATTAAATTACATTTAAGAATTGAAAACACGCGTTTGTTGATAAAAATTAACGTAATCGATGTTCTAAAGAAGACTTTCAGAAAAATTCGAAATCACACAAATTTATCTAATTTAGATTTAACCCTACTCTTTCCTTATTGCCTACATGGATAGCCAATTTTGTCCCGATTCAAAAAGAAGACTCCTTAATTAAAATAACTATTTATGACACTATTATTTTGGTTCGCAGTGTTATCAAGTTTTTGGACAGAAATTTTCTCTTTATCGAGAACCTTCGATATATAGAGAAAATGTAAGTCCAAAAAGGATAGTGTTATACAGCAAGACCAAGGGCGACGCCGGGCACTTCTGCTACAGTAATTAATAATACTTATCAGAGGGGAATTTTAAACTTTATTTAACACTGATATTATGATATACAGAATATTTTGTAAATATGATATGGAATCTGGAGAAGGAAGAAGCCTTGAAAATATGAAAATTAAAAGTTTGATTAGAAAGATGCTTTTTTAAAGGCGGCTTCAGGTATAAATAGCACTCATGTACACTTACTATTCACACTACAGTACAGTACAGATATACATAAATATTAACGTTTTAAAGGTATTTACACTAAAGTTGAGAGGTATAGGGGTATGACGTATTAAGACTGCTCTAAGAACTAGTGTTGACAAAAAAATAACAAATATTGTTAAAAAAAAGGTTAAAATTTCCTGAGTTGATTATTTACCTTTTTCATTTGTCGCAAACACTCCCCTTAAACAAGTTTCTGAACGATTCTTCGAATACGTCATCTGAAAAATGTACACAAACCCTATCCCTGCACCTTTAGTATAAAATAAACACCTTTTAACAGTTTACATTCTGGGTTACAGAGTACAGAGTAGAAATATTTTGTGATCAGAAAGTCAGAAAAAAATGAGCATGCATCACCTTAAAGGTATAAATGACTCAAAGAAGTAGTGCTTGCTAATATATTTTTACGACGTTAATCTTAGATATCCTAACCAATTCGGAATATGGGAAGTTATGTGAGGATGTAAAAAAATATGGGAGGGTGTTGGAAAGTAGGGGAGGGTGTGGGGAATTAGTGGAGGGTTGGGGAAATTATAGTGAAGGGTGTGGGAAAGTAGGGGAGGGTGGGGAAATTAGTGAAGGTTGTGGGAAAGTAGGGGAGGGTGTGGGGAATTAGTGGAGGGTTGGGGAAAGTAGGGGAGAGTGTTATAAAGGATGGGAGAAATAAGGAAAGGCCGGATGTGCAGGAATTTTTAACAATATATTATTTTCTACAATTATTTGTTTTGTTAATAAATTTAAAAAAGCAGTCTAATGAGACATATTGTCGCTAAAACAAGTAGAACCAGAAAAAATTGGAATTCTTGTCTTTTTCTACTTTTATTTAGAAAATGTGAAATGTCGCTGAGCAATTTATTTCTTAACAATGCCCTAAACTGTTTTAGAAACCAGTTGCAGCAATTGCTAGCTACAAGATCTTTAAAATCATTTCTAAATTCAAAAGGAGGCGACATTCATTTCACTGTTCTGGTTTTTACTGTTATAACAGAAAACATGGAGTTTTATTCACTTAACACGTGGTTTTGATTTCATTGTGATTTGCCAACTGATGAAATCACAAAAATGTTTAGAAAAAAAAACACACCGTTGTTTCACACGTGTAAATAATACTGTTAAAGAGAAAAATTTTCAAGCATTTTCTAATACAGTGGTGTACATAAAACAGTGGAATAAAAAGATGTGATTTGAGCAATCACATGTATGCATTTTTGATGTTGTTATAAAGCTAATAGTTTTACCAGTTGCCTAGAATTTATTCATTAAGTGAAATGAGTCTTTTTACGTACACTTAACATTTGCCATGTTTCATGTTCATGGAGTACGTAAAATCATGATTTGAATCTGACAGTCGTCTTCCATTCTACAATTTTATGGGTCTATAGTATCTTGTTGGCCCATTAGATTCTGCAAGTTCCAAAACATAGGTTATAATTTTTAAACCACTTATGTGTTTAATTATTTTTTTGAATATACCTTTATTAAAAAAAGAAATATTTGCATAACAATATGAAAGTTGTCTTTTTTTTCTTTGCTTGAAATAAATTGATGAAATATGTCTAAAAAGTTCTATATTACTTTCATACTGTGGTCGCCAGTATATTTTGGATTATAAAAGATGACAGAAATCAACCTGAAGTGCATTCAATACTTTAATAATTTCTGAAATAATCAAAGCATACATTTAAAATGATTTCCTGGATTTTTAAGCCAACTTTTTAATTTTATGCCCAGTTTGCAATTTAAAACTTATCATCTGTCTTCAACTGTGATGTGAACACTGGGACCCAGAAAATAGAAAGACGACTGTAAAACTCAAGTTATGATTTTGAAAAGATCAATGAATATGAAACACAGCAATTGTGCAGTGTAGCCAGACACATTTCATTTCATTCGTAGATTTTTGTTTAAATTGTTTGCTTTATATCAACATCATAAACACATTAGATTGCCAAAATGTCGTCTTCTTATTTCACAGGTAAATTCAGTGTCAAACTGAATTTTGTTTGCAGAGTTTTGGAATAATTTTCCGTAGGACCCATTTTCTATTCAGCTTCTATTTGAGCAAAACCGACGTTATAGTGCGTTTTTTACTTTTTCATTGTTGTTGATGTAGAAATCCGCCAGTCATCTATTAGAAAAGCTGTGGTGCACTTATACTTGTAATGTTTGGGTATAAGGAAAAAGATATTTCTGTCACCAAATTGTATATCGTTGATGGCACCCTGTAAATACAGGATGATCTGAAAAAAATTCTCTTGCCAAGTGATTTTTCATGGGTCGCCTCTTACTGCGCAGGCGCATGATGAGATGATGAGTTTGATGGATTTGCTGTGGCTGTTTCACTGCCTTTTTTTGTGCTGTTAGTTCGCTTGTTCATCATGTCACAAAACTCGCGGAAATTCAACTTATCATTTCCTGTTTGATCAAACTTCTTAAAAGCCAAGTCAATCTGAAAATTTGAACTGGATTATTTGATTTCAAAGTATTTGTAAAATCTAGCTTAAGTTGGATAGAAATAATATAAAAAAGATATGTAAAAAAAAAGAATTTTTAAAAGTAAGAAAAAGTAGATGAACCATGCAGACCACTTTTCTTGTTCAGAAAGATAAGTGGTTGAACCATGTCTGGGCAGTTAAACCATGTTTTGCTATTGATTAAATGTGGTCCCAGCTATCATCAGAAAAAAAGAAAATTAAAATGCTAGAAGAACTTTAAAATTCTAATAATTATTACTTAAAGCACGAAAAAGATAAGACTGTGAAAAAAAAATAAAGAAGGAGAAACAAATATAAAAAAGTAAGAAAAAAGGAAATTATGAAACTGAAAAAAACATAAAGAGCAAAATAGGTTAAAAATGACAAAGAAAAGTAGTAAACTCTAAAATTAAAAAGAAAAGTAATAAACTCTAAAATTAAAAAGAAAAGTAGTAAACTCTAAAATTAAAAAGAAAAGTAGTAAACTCTAAAATGAAAAAGAAAAGTAGTAAACTTTAAAATGAAAAAGAAAAGTAGTAAACTCTAAAATGAAAAAGAAAAGTAGCAAACTTTAAAATGAAAAAGAAAAGTAGTAGGAAAAACTATAAAAGAAAATGAAGAAAAAATTTGAATAAGACTGTAAAAAAGAAAATTGATAAGAGATGCCAAAAACACTAAAATCACAAGAAATAAAAGCGAAATAGCAAAAGAAATTGGAGGAAAATGGCGGAAAATGTATAAACAAACAGGGATATATTTATTTTTCATAGAAATGTGAGACCCATAACACTCCATAATAAGAAAATTACTTTAAATCTCAAGTTATGATTTTACTTTATCACTTGTTCAATGTTCATGTTTAAGCTTCTGGTAAAATTATTTGCTTTATGGAAACAATAAACAGTAAAAACCAATAAGAATGCTGAAATGTCGTCTTCCTATTCAACAGTTTGATAGAAATGTTTGCAAGAGGCAAAAAATATATATACTCCTGTAAGAAATGTGGTTTATAGGAAAGAAAAATATATACCCCTGTAAGAAATGTAGTTTTTATGAAAGAAAAATATATACCCCTGTAAGAAATGTGGTTTATAGGAAAGAAAAATATATACCCCTGCAAGAAATGTGGTTTTTATAAAATAAAAATATATAACCCTGTAAAAAATGTGGTTTATTGGAAAGAAAAAAAAATACCCCTGCATGAAATGTGGTTTTAAAAAAGAAAAATATATAACCCTGTAAGAATTGTGGTTTTATGAAAGAAAAATATACACCCCTGCAAGAAATGTGGTTTTTATGAAAGAAAAATATAAACCCCTGTAAGAAATTAGGTTTTTACCTGCTCTCTATTGAGATTCTTACAGACCTCCCTGAACTCCTGAATTAATTCTCCATTAATATGAGAAAACTCATCAATTATACATTAATCCAACCCCTAAGGATTTACAGGGGGAGGGGGGGGGCTCTCCTGGATGGAGGGGGACAGGAGTCCCCAGGGTAGGGGGAAAACCATTTTCTAGATTTAATTATATTATAATTCCGTTTTTGTTCTTTCCTAACAAATAAGAAAGGAACTTATTAGTTTTCAGGTATTCAGAGATTGGTTTTGGTACAAATCAAAGGGACTGATTTTGAAATTTTAAGCGACCCTCCATTTAAGAAAGGACACGCCCGATTCACAATTGTCTGTTGAAACATTATCCTGATCGATAATGTGAAAAATAACTTCGGTTATAGAGCTTCACCATATTTAATTCTCTGTTTTTCCTAATGCCAGAAATAAGCAAGTCACTTTTGAAGAGAAACTAAGAATGATAATTAATGAGCAGTTTGTAAAAGCAATAACATTGATATCTATTCACACTTTATCAGAAAAAGCTTTTAAGAGTATCATTATGAATCGGACATGCCACTCTATCAATGGAGAGTTAGATTACAGTTCTTGAATAAACATTTGCACCTATAGTTTGTATAAAAATAAAGTTAAAATTTACCGTTTTTGTAACAAATCCGTCGCCATCTTTATCCATGAGCTTAAAGAGTCGTTCTGCTCTGGACTCTTCTCCCATGAATTCTTCAAAGGAGAGCCTAAACATATTAAATGTATTTATCATTTACATCTTATCTTAACTTAATGAAAATTTGGTCAAAACCCATTTTATTGTTCCGGCTGGCCACTTTATTATCCCGACTAGCCAATTTATTGTCATTGCTGGCTTTTTTATTGTCCTGGATTCCTCTTTTATTTTTGTCCCAGCTTGCCACTTTATTGTCCCGGCTAACCAATTTATTGCCCTGCCTGACCACTTTATTGTCCTTGCTGACTATTTTATTGTCGTGGCTGCCCACTTTTTTTTTGTCATGGCTGTCCAATTTATTGTCACGGCAAGGCACCTCATACTACAGGCTGGCCACTTTATTGTTCCGACTGCAACTTTATTGTCCCGGCTGCAACTTTATTGTCTCGACTGCAACTTTATTGTCCCTGCTGCAACTATATTTTCTTGACTGCAACTTTATTGTCCCGACTGAAACTTTATTGTCCCGACTGAAACTTTATTGTCCCGGCTGCAACTATATTGTCTCGACTGCAACTTTATTGTCCCGGCTGCAATTTTATTGTCTCGACTGCAACTTTATTGTCCCGGGTGGCCACTTTATTGACTTTAATTTGTTTATCATGTTGAACATAGTTTTGTTCCCTCATGGCCATGGATATATAAAACTTCCTTTTTACGACAACAAATTCTTTAAACAAGATTGTAAAAAGAGTTTCCACGACTAAAAATGATCATTTGAATGCATTTGAGGTCAACCGAATTACAAACACACACTTGATGACACTTTCTCAATATTGGATATTGATTTCGGTAACATGTCTAGATAGATATTTGATAATGTAAAATTTGAATTTATAAAATGTTAGATTTCAAACCTGCCATTTTCTAGCACTCTAGTCTCAAAGCTCTTATGCACTTCCTCCCTATAACAACAGAAAAATTGTAAGAATTCAAAAAGAAAGCATCACATTTATTATTGTTATATAAGCTATGTATATTGTATATAAATCCCAGATTATATATTTTTAGCTTAGGAACCCAGCTTTAACTGGAAACTTAACTTTCAAAAAGTCGCCCTAATCAACTTAGAATTTTTAAGAGCATTTTCGTGGTTATACAGAGTTCAACAATTAAAACATGAGGCAAATCGCTCCAGGGGTTCATGAGTTTTGATCAACAAACTAACAGATAAACAAACAAACAGAGATCACTACTTTATAGGTATTGAACAATTAACATTTGGGGAGTAAAATTGTGGGAAAGATGGCAGGTAGGGTTTCCACGAAATGGCTAAATCTTTTGCGCACTTTTGCGCTATTTTTGCGCATGAAGCGCAATGAGTTTTGCGCGGTTTTGCGCTATTTTTTTTGCGCAATTAGCGCAAAACTGTAAATATTTTTTGCGAAAGTTGCGCATAAAACGAAATTTTAGTTTTGCGCAATTTTTTTGCGCAATTTGCGCAAAATGTAACTTTTTAGGCAAATTGTCAAAAATTGATATTCAAACCTTAGAATTAAACAACTGAAGATTTATTCCATACATAAAAAAAAATATTAACATACGAGTATAATAACGATTATACTACACTCAATTGGTTACTTCCAGTTACAAAAAGTTTATATTAAGGGACCAAAATTAATAAAATAGAAATTAGAGAGTGTGAAACTTGGCAAGACTTTAATCCTATTAAATAATTTCAAGTGACCCTTAAAAGCTTTGCCTAATCAAGTATGAATTATATTCTTAAATCTTTAATCTCATATAAAATAATGCAAGAAAGTAACCAATGCCTGAAGAATCCACTTTTAGGAAATATGCCTGTCCAAAACTAAAATAATAAAATTGTCGAGAAAATTGTGAGATTTGAACTCTTCTTAACTGTCATTGGTCAATTATGTAAAAGTGACCAATAGGAAGACATTCCAAAACAAGATTTTTCCAGAATTGAATTCTAAGAAACACACACCGTCACCAACCGTTTGATTTTCACGAAATTGCGGAATTGCGCAAAACTTGAGTTTGATTTGCGCGAAATGACTTTTGCGAATGATTGCGCAAATTGTTGTTTTTTTCGCGCAAAACTGATGCGCAAAGAAAGAAAAATTTTGCGTTTCGTTCCGCAAAAAATGCGCAAAAGTTTTGCGAATGGAAACCCTAATGTCAGGAGGGTAAAATTTTTAAATGCTCTTTTTGAAACATCTCAATAACAGTTATTTTCCAATTTAAAACTTTTTTTTGAAGGATTCAGTTTAATTCTCAGCTTACACAAAACAGAAAACATTATATCTTACTATTTTTCATTTCTGAAAATTGAATTAATTTTTTATTACTCCGTAAAGTTTATCACCATTCACAAAATTGGTTTGTTTAGAAACGAATTTAATTCTTATAATGAAGCTTGCACGGGCGGGCCGCGGCACAGCAATATATATCAATTTTTTTGAAAACAGAAAAAACTAATTTCCTTTAAGAATTGAATATTTACCATTAAAATAAATAAAAATGTTAAAATAAGTTTATTGTAAGTAGGCCTAGCTCCGTGTATAGTTCTTTTTATGTCGCTCGGACAAAAGGGAAAATAATTTCAATTGAAAAAAAAATAATAATGTATTTATAATGTATACACAACATTTGGCATGATAATGGAAATAAATTAATTCAAATAATTACATGCATTTGGAATAATTCAAAGGGACTGTAAGCGTAATTTCGAATGACACTGATCGATCATCGAGGGCAGAGAGGATTTAAAATATTCGAATTTAAATATTTATTTTCGGCGACTTTTAGGAAGTACATATTTATATTTCCTAAAATTAAAACTCAGCTTGTAAATAAAGTTCTGTAAATATATAAGGATAAGTCCGTCAAAAGTATTTAAATTTCAATGGTACTCTTGTGAATGAGATACGTCACTCTATAAATCTAATCTGAGCTGAAAACTTTAGAATAGGATATCCTTAATCCCGATCGGTTAATTAATCTGGAGATTAATAACAAGAGGAGATCAAGCCATATTTAATCTCGAGATGAAGAAAAAGAGTGGATCAAGCATTAATCCCGATATGCACCATTCAAAAGTTCCCAGCTCAGTTGACCAGCTACTCGAGGTAAGCATTTTAACCGTTATATTTTATAAATTGTTTTTCTTTAAATGATTCTGTTTTATTTGATATTATTTTGTTTTATTACTATAAGGACATTGTAAAAATATATTTACGGAAAAGTACTTTCAATCTCTGGGTTGGTTCAACCTTCCATCAATATATAAATGAATAATGCCCTCAGTTCCTTTAAGCGATCAGTAAATATTTTTTTAGACAGGTAATTTCTAAATATTGATGATTGTATAATAAACTAGGTGAAGGGCCCGGAGTTGCCCGTGGAAAATGAAATTTATGATGATTGTGCAATAAATAAAGAAATGATTTTAAAGGGACAGACCTATTGTAAGGTAGTTGAAATGAGTATGCAGTGTTGTGGACAAATTCTTAAGGATTCATTTGAGACATATAAAACTTTTTAAAGATCTGTAAATCCTGAGTTTGAGCGCAAAGTCGACGTTCAAAATCGTACTTTTGGGTGGATAGTGGAGACGTTTTTAGAATTGTTTTTAAATTATTAAATAACGACACAAAAAATGTAAACAAAATTCTACAGTGAAATAATTAGATGTTTAGGAACAGGTTGAGAAAATAAAAATTAATCTTATCATCAAAAATAAGTAATCGTATTCAATTATTACTTTCTATAATCGCTGATTATTCACAAAGATTTTCTGCAGATTTTCTGGAATTTTAATTGATAAGACGACATTTGAAGAATTTGTAGAAATCTGCGAATAAATTCATAGGAAATAAGAAATTAACAATATAATGATGGAAACGAAATAATTGATTCTAACATTGATTTATTAACAAATTTCTTTTGAGGAATGTGTTCCTAACATTCTAATTAGTTTACTGTATAATTTTTTCTTTATTTTTCGTAGTCATTATTTAATAATTAAAAAACCGATTCTGAAAACGTACCCACCCAATACATGATTTTAAACGTTAACTATGCACTCAAACTCAGTAATTATACACCGTGGAAACGTTTTTATGTCTCAAATGAAGCCTAAAGAATTTTTCCACAACACTGCATACTCAGTTTAACTACCTTACATAGCCGGTCTGTCCCTTTAAAAACAGTATTCTTTGAACAATAAAACTTTTTCCAAAGTTTCAATTTTATAATTAGTTAGGAATAAATTGGAAAAAACATATTATCTATGAAATAAGGTACACATGTACAATGAACTAACTTAAGACACGAAACCAGTTTATAATCGTTTAAAAAAAGGGAGTTAGGGGGGGTAATGGAAAGGGTTAAAGGCTTTGCGACACTTCAAACTCGAACCAGTCTGAAAAATCGATGCCACTTTTCAGAGCAGTTCAGATCTATGTCGGTACATGCTTAAAATTCATCTATTGACCTACAGTACATGTGTATTGTTGACACACAAGTCACATTGAGATAGAGTATTATTGGCAATATGAACAAAGCTGGGAATTTTCAAAGAGAATTGAATACAAGGAGTGGGCAATAGGGTTTCCGTACACTTTGCTGTGACGTATTTGGACTGCTGGAGAACTAGTTTTTGCGTAACAACAATAATAAAGATTGTAAACAATAACACAAATGATAAACAGACATTTGGTGGATCTCTGGCGTTAGATGAAGATTCACCGTATACTAACTCATGTTTGTTTACATTAGATCGGCTGCCTTTATTATTGTTTTTACGCAAAAACTAGTTCTCCAGCAGTCCAAATACGTCACAGCAAAGTGTACGGAAACCCTATTTCCCCCTCCTTGTATTCAATTCTCCTTGGGAATTTTTATGCATGATTACCCACAGTTGATCGCGCTCAGTTGATCTCAATATCTACAATGGGCACTTTTAAATTTTAAGAAGAATCTGCAAGATCGCTTGAATTTGGATATTAATTTTTCTATTCTCCCATTGGTTCAGAGCAAAATTCCCTGGCCTCTGATTGGCTTCTGTAAAGAACAAATTAATCTGTAGATTAAGAAAAGATTGAAATGAAGCATTCTTAAGTCCAACTCCCTTACTCCTTGATTTGGATCTTTTACCCTTAACATAAAATGAAGGGGGTGGGGGTTGATTAAATTTAAATATTTGGTTTGGTTTGGTTGAGTAGATTTTATAATCTTGATAAAACCATAACTAGACATAACCATGCAAGATTAAAGCTAGGCTCAGCTACAAATATTGCAATATAATAGTTTCTTACATTCAAGAATATTTCCAGCATAAAAGACTATTTCCAGAATATTCCAGAATATTCCAGAATATTCCCAAAATATTTCAGAATATTCCCAGAATATTTCAGAATATTCCAAAGTCACATTCAAATCATGTACATTACAATCTGAGCTGAACCAACCTGTACGGTCCTATAGTTTGTACTTCCCGGTTTACCAACTACACTGGTAGACATGTAGCAGGGTATAATATAGTTGGCTTACCTCAAGGTACTAATGCAAGGAAAGTTGTATCAGAGGTGTACGCATATTTTGTACTGCAGTGAACTGTCTTTGAGCGGAAAAGTAAACACAAGACGGATGTTGCAGCATCGATGAAATATTCTTGTCATAGGAAACTATTATGTCAATTATCAAAATTATCAATATTAAATGCTTTGTTCCTCCTCGGATACTAGACAAACACAAGATGCATCTATTCTTGTTTACGAATTCCGCCCAGAGAGAACTGGTTTCAATATGTACGCAGAGTATACACAACCGCAATTAACTTTCCTTTCATTAGTACCTTGTCTTTGCTACAGTGATAACCAGAAATCTCTAGAAAAGGAAGTCGATTCAAGTTATTAACAATAACAGATAGAATACTAGATGTCGTCTTCTCAAGATGTAGGGTTTTTTTTGTTCACAATAACCCTGAGGCAGAAGCCAAAAGGAGTTACGCGCATGCTCCAGAGGGAGTTCTGTTTTATGCCGCATGCGCGTAACACCTGATTGGTTGAAGTTTAGATACTTTAATGTATATTAAAATAAAGATCATAATAGTGTTTGCAGATTAACAAAAAGAGGAGTTCAAGAATTTAGCTCGATTCTAAATTCTAAAGTTTTCAGCTCTGATTTACATTCACTAATACGGCAATTTTGCAAAAAAAAGGGATTTATATAGACTCAACAAATATTATCATTTTCATCGATTAATTCTTCTCTTACGCAATATGTTTCTGTTTCAAATGTAGCAATGTACTTCGAAAAACTAAGATTGAAAAGTAATTACAAATGCAAAGAAAACATTAATAACAATAATAAAAAACTTTGTTACCGAGAGAGCTGGTTATATATTAGATACCAAAAAATATATAAAATCAATTATACCATCGATATAAATCTTTTTTTTTCATTTTTCATCAACCCTACATTGCGTGTTGAATAATATTAATTTTCTGAACAATAACAATGAATTAGAAAATTAAAAGTCTAATGTAATATATAAATAGCTGAAGAGCCCGGCGTTACCCGTGGAAAAAAATGTGTTAAAATTTGTCTAAAAATTTGGAAAAAATCGAATTTTTTAGCCCCAGGCTACCCACGAGTGCCTACAAAAATGCCAGCCCATTCAGTCCAGCCGTATTGTTGGCCAGAGGGAACATATATATGAATGTCTTGTTTTATTATATAGATATATTCACTTCTAAATAACTATTTAAAGCACTATAATTATTCTGGTTCGCAGTGTAATGAAGTTTTTGGACAGCAATTTTCTCTTTATCGAGAAGGTTCAATCAAGCTTTTTTGGATTAAATTTTGTCCTGAACTTTTCTGCGAGATATAGAGAGAAAAAATAGTATGATAGGTAATTTTAGGAAACGTTTATGTTCATAATTATTTCAAAATAAATTAACCCCTTTATTTTTTATGACCCCCCTCCCCCCCAACCCCCAATAAAAAAGGGTATTCAAATTTACAAATTAAAGCTTCTAATCCTCCCAAGAACAAAGAAACTTAAAATCTCGCATCATTATTTGAAATATCACAGATCCGAAAAACTGGAGTAAGAGTTGGGTGATCTGAGACCGAATTTAATGAATTGGAGAGGTCGCTGAATTACCTATCGCCGGTTCAAATCAAGATTTGAACCGGTCTCTCAAATTCATTAAATTCGGACCAAGTTTCTTTTTAATTTAAAAGTCCTAAAGCTAAATTTATATTTCAACATTTTCCTTTTTATACACTCGGTAGTCCTTATATATTTGGTTTTTGATTAATGTTTAAAGTTTGGTCTAATTTTGTTTCATTAATAGATTTTTTCCCTCTTAATGAAATAGTACATACAAAAGCCTTAAAATACATAAATCTCAAATGTATACAGTGGATTACAAAGACGACTTTTGAACTCAAATTTTGATTTTAAAAAGCCAAATGAACTTGAATCAATGCAGATATGTAGTTTAAATAGTTTCACTCAATGATTTGATTTTTAATCTACAGGTTAAAGTATTTGCAACATTAACAACATTAAACATGAATATCGTCTTCCTTTTTCGCAGTTTATGGGGCCCACAATACTTCATTAAACCGATAACATAAGAAAGCTAAGATAATGTTTAGAAAGTATAAACTTTAATATTCTAATCTTTATATTTTTAAATCTCATGTCTAAGATATTTGATATTTCAAACTCTGAACTCTGATTATTATAAATCAAATAGTCAATTTGTAAATATTAAAGATCTATAGGGATCAGCAGATTAGAATTTGAATCGAGCGCTCAGTTCATTAAAGTAGTTGAATCAAAAAAAAATGTTTAAGGCGCCTGAAAGCTTAATTTAGTTTAGGTCACTCACATTTATGTTGATATTTTTTTATTTATTGGTCGTTAGTATTTGATTTTACAATAAATAATAAATTATATATTTTACATTATATAGGAAATATATTGTGTAATATAGCAGGTTAATAGGATATAGTAGACACTTTTAAATTAGCTTTAATACTAATCTATTCAACGTTATAAATTGATACCGGAGGGTGCAGGGGTGGGAGGGGGGGGGGGGGCTTTCTTTACGGGTTTTTACCAGTAAAAAAAGTTTTGGTCCAGAATTTTTCTTTGCCAAAGTTAATTTCTGTTTTGACTTACTTTTTAAACCTTAAAAAGCTGGCAAATCATACAAAAGGAATTGAGTCTTTGCCACAAACTCTGATTTTCTAATCTCTATATCTTTTTACTCCGATGTCGTATACGTTTGATATTTCAAACTATGAATTCTGTTAAATGAAAGAATATAAGTTTGAAATATTAAAGGTTTATACCATCTAGTTGCTTAGATATAGGTATTAGATAACTTGAGTTTGTGGCAAAAACTCAATTCCTTTGTCTTGTCTATTGTCTACCTTTAAACTAAGGATTATTAAATCTCGAAATTTCAAAGTTTGGTCGGCCATTGAAATAAAATATTTTATCCCGATTGATTAAAATTCATTTCTCAGACCTAAATGATTTCGCATATTTTTATATTAAAAACACCTTGATAAGCATAACAAAAAAGAGTTTTTCGGAAAATGAATTCTATTATAAAAATACCAATCCCCCTCCGGCCCCCCTCCCCCAAGATATGATTATTTCTACGCTTTAGAAGTGAATATATTGTATATATTACATTAGACTTTCAAGTTTCTAATTTATTGTTATTGTTGAGAAAATAATATTGTTTAACACGCAGTGCAGGATTAACAAAAAATGAAAAAAGATTTATATTGTATTCCGACGGTATAATTGATTTTTTATACTTTATTTATTATATAATATGTAACCAACTTTCTCGGTAACAAAGTTTTTTATTATTAATATTTTCTTTGCATTTACTTTTCAATCTTAGTATTTTTACTCAACAAACTCACCTCGACTGCCCCTTTAGTAAAAGTAAATTGAACCTATATTAAGCATAAAGTCTGACCGCGTCAAACTTGTTGCACCGGCGAGTCCTGTCCATAGAGCTAGGTACAGTACAAACTGGGACCGGAAAGGTTGACCCGGCTCGGAAAATCAAATGTACTACGGCTGCCCGTGAACATTGCCTTATTAGTTAATGCAAATTTAACCAGAGCTGAAAACTTTAGAATTATGAATATCGAGATAAATGCTTATTTTATCATTTTGTTACTCTGCAGACTTTTATTTTTTATATCCATTAAAGTGTCTCAGATTCAACCAATCAGATGATAAGATAAGATAACGTTTATTGCTAAAATAAATGTATCTGTATACATGTGAATAAGTTAACCCGGTGTTGGGTTGTCGGTCAGTTTAATCCGGGAGCTCACAAAGACACGTCCGGTCAGCTCGGATAACTACACTACACTGATCGTTTGCATCAACCAAACAGCCAATCAGAAGCTGGACAATTTAACACACACTCAATAAGAGAACCCTCATTGGTTGAAACCCAAGAGAGAGGATTATCAAGAAAGTCAAAAGCTCCACAGACGATATTCATATTAAAGGAGCGGGATTAAGAATATCCAATTCTTAATCTTTAAGTTTAGATGTGTCAACTTACAAGTTGCACCAGCCTACATAGCTACACTGATAACCAGAAAACTGTAGAAAAGAAAGACGATATCAAAGCAATACTAAAGTTCATTTGATGTTCTTACAAAACAAATAGCTATACTCATAGATTATTTAACAATAACACATAGAAGACTAGATGTTGTCTTTTCAAGATTTAGGGGGTTTTCGTTCACAATAACCCTAAGGTAGAAGCCCAAAGGTGTTACGCACAGCGTAGAACAGGCTCACTTATAGGAGCTTGTGCGTAACTCCTTTTGGCTTCTGCCTTAGGGTTATTGTGAGTAAAAAACCCTAAATCTTGAAAAGATGACATAGCGTGTTTTATCTGTTATGGTTAATTAATCTATGACTATAACAATAAGTTAAACAAAAGTCAAATGGGTCTGTTTACACTGCACAATTGTTGTGCCTGACATTATGATAACTGACGAGATTGTGTCCTGAGATGGAATTTAAAGAATTTGAGCCGCGGTTTAAATCCGCCAAAACTCGGTTTAAATTAAGCGCCAGCTTAAATCTTGAAACATTTGATACAATTTTAAGTGGAACCAACCATATTTAAACCGCGGCTTAAATTTAAACCGCCGCTCAAATTCTTTAAATTCGGCCACTGGTTTAGCCATTGATAGCTAAGTGAAACTAAATTGTACCTGGTTAGATACGGGTTTGAGAAACCTTTATGGAGTAGGGCATTTACTATGAGCCAACTTTATCATACCCTGCTACATGTCTGCCAGTGTAGTTGGTTCACCGGGCAGTACAAACTATAGGACCGTACAGGTTGTATCAGGTCTACCAGTATAGTTGGTTTACCGGGCAGTACAAACTAGGACCGTACAGGTTGTATCAGGTCTGATTCTAATGTACATGTGGCGTGACTTTTCTTTTATTTACGTACACTTACGTTGAGTTATGTATTCCCGCTGCTATTAGTACATTCGTCCACTGATCTCTACTCAGCTTACCATCAGAGGCATCCTTTCCAATAGCCTAGATAGATATATAGATAGATAGATAGATAGATAGACAGATAGATAGATAGATAGGTATTCGTCGATTTATTATCTATTTAGAAAATTCTTGTTGGTTTATTTTCCAAAACAGGGAGGTTTTCATGTTTTTTTTTTATATCAGAAAATGATCTGAGACTGAGAAATAAAGCGGTTGCTTAAGTCTTTATTCTGATGCAGTGTTCACTGTGCAGTGTCATTTTCATAGAGAATAGAATATATAGAGAGGAATTAAAAGAATCTCTCGGTATGAATTTTTTTCAGTCCCTTTCAGCCTGAAAGGGAGTTCAAAGTGTACAAATCATGTAAATGTTCACAAATTATATGCAGTAGAGTACATTAATACAGTATGTTCCCTAAGCCCAAAATTTAAAAGAGTATCGTTGAACGAAACTCCCGAGTTTCCTTTTTGGGGTCTTAACATTTGTGTACATTTTGATTTATGAGATTCGAAAAAAATGGAGAATATAAACAAACTGAAAAATAACATTTCATGACAAAAATATTGATATTCACAAAACCCCATTCGTAAAACCCGGGTTTTAAAACTGGTTTTCATAACGATACCCTGTCTTAAGTTTTGGGCTCTGGACTATTCATTTCAATTTCGAAATTTTTAAAGCTGTTAAATAAACTATATAATGAATTAGGTGAATAAAAACATCATTTGATTTATAGTTATAACGGAAAATGATTGTTTGTAAAGTGGAAGGCATAGAGTCTATGTAAAATGATCATTGGTCAGTTATGAAACCAGCCTATTTCATAATTTGGTTTTCTTTTAACAATAATTTTAGATTTTCTATAAAATGATATTCCAGGGCCCAACAGATTATATGGCATAAACATGTGAAGTACACCTGCAGTATGGAAACAGTACAACAAAATGGCCGTTTTACACTTTTTTCTAGTAAATTCCTCTCTATATATTCTATTCTCTATGGTCATTTTATGTCAATAAATTATAGGAAAGACATAAATTGCCATCTTTTACTTTTAGTTTGACACTCAGTGTCATTGTAATGTAACATAGTACAAAAAACACAGTTTACCTTTTAGTTCTTCCAATTAGACACAAATCACTTTACTTTGAATGTTTATATTTGATTAAAAAAAAATTAAAAATAAATTCGAATTAAAAAAATTAATGTAAAAAAATAGATTAATTTTTTTTTTCAGCGTATGTAACCCGGCCCAGGGTCCCTTGGGTTCCTTAAAAAATGTCAGCCAGATTAGTACAGCCGTTCCAGAGATCGTATTAATAAACTGTGATAAGTAGGTTTGGCTTGTTGAACTTCTTTTCTGCACGTTCCTGGGCCCCAAGAGAGAAAATATTATTTGTGTAAAGTTCAATTACTTCTCATCATTCATTAATTCTGAGAGCTTTGGACATTTTAAATTAATTCGTTGGTTTAAAAAGAATTAAGATGTCAAGATATCCGACGCGATTTGTATCTGCAACAAATGAGAGTACGTTACTTTAGCGGTCATTTCCCTATTATACCTTCATGAACTGCTTCTTGATCTCTTCCTTCTTCTTCCTCTCCTCCCCCTTCCTGTTCATCAGAAACCAACTCATCTAGATAAAGAACATGTTCAGCGCTACTTTTCTCACCAACAGTTTGGCAAAAAAAAAAACACCCAAAAAGTTAAGTTCTTTGCACAATAAGAAATCCACAATTTTTTTTCTATTTTTAATAAATGAAAAAAAATAGATACTATGTTTTATAAAAGTAAAAAATGGTTGCCGGACATTTTTAATCCAAGTATTTTTTTTACAAAGTTTAAATAAGCACTTCTTAAATTCACCTATTTTTTAATAAAGTTTAAATTAAACCACTTTATATTCATTTAAACTGCCATGCATAGATTAAGAATTATTGATTTCGTAAGAAGTTTTCAGAAATTGAATTAAAAGGGAACTTTAAGTGACCAATTATGCCCCAATAGAACTTTAAATATTGATTATTACAATATTATATACTTTTGGAACATTATTCACATCTGGAACATTGTATACCTTTGGAACATTATATACCTCTAGAACATTATATACCTCTGTAACACTATACACCTCTGGAACATCATATACCTCTGGAACATTTTACACCTTTGGAACATCATTTACCTCTAGAACATTATACACCTCTGGACCATTATATATCTCTGGAACATTATACACCTCTGGACCATTATATACGTCTGGACCATTATATACCTCTGGAACATTATTTACCTTAGGAACATTTCATACCTATGGAACATTATACACCTCTGGAACATTATACACATATGGAGGGCTATATATATATATATGGAACATTATACACCTCTGGAACATTATACACCTCTGGAACATCATTTACTTCTGGAAAATTATATATCTCTGGAACATTTACACCTCTGGATTGTTATTTACATCTGAAACATTATACACCTCTGGAACATTGTATACCTCTGGAACATTATACAACTCTGGAACATTATACATATACACTGCTAACTAGAAATGTTAACTGGACTGCTAACTGGAAATATTGACTAAGAAACTAACCTCGCTAAAGCTTGTTTATCAGTAAACTGAGATGCTAACTGGAAATATTGACTAAGAAATTGACCTCGCTAAAGCTTGTTTACCAGTTAACTGAACTGCTAACTGGAAATATTGACTAAGAAATTGACCTCGCTAAAGCTTGTTTACCAGTTAACTGAACTGCTAACTGGAAATATTGACTAAGAAATTGACCTCGCTAAAGCTTGTTTACCAGTTAACTGAACTGCTAACTGGAAATATTGACTAAGAAATTGACCTCGCTAAAGCTTGTTTACCAGTTAACTGAACTGCTAACTGGAAATATTGACTAAGAAATTGACCTCGCTAAAGCTTGTTTACCAGTTAACTGAACTGCTAACTGGAAATATTGACTAAGAAATTGACCTCGCTAAAGCTTGTTTACCAGTTAACTGAACTGCTAACTGGAAATATTGACTAAGAAATTGACCTCGCTAAAGCTTGTTTACCAGTTAACTGAACTGCTAACTGGAAATATTGACTAAGAAATTGACCTCGCTAAAGCTTGTTTACCAGTTAACTGAACTGCTAACTGGAAATATTGACTAAGAAATTGACCTCGCTAAAGCTTGTTTACCAGTTAACTGAACTGCTAACTGGAAATATTGACTAAGAAATTGACCTCGCTAAAGCTTGTTNTTTTTTTTTGTTTTTGTTTTATACTTTACAAAGAGAAGATGCTCAGAGATAAAGCCACAATTAAAAGTTGAAATAGAAGATGGGCGCGAAGCGCGCTAAAAGCCTAGTCATACGAAAAATCTAATTTTTTATATTATGCAATATTTTTTTAGCAAGCATGATAAATGAATTGCAGGTTGCTTGGACTATTTTAATTAATTTCAAAATGATAAAAATCTTTAGAAATTAAAAATTAAAATAATAAATTATCTTGAGAAAGCCAGTTGTAGTTTTAGAAAGCGCACAAACGCTTTTTTTAGTTGTATTTAAGTTCAAGTCTATGTCAATAAGGAACATTTTTTAGGAATTAATTTTCACCTTACTGATACCAATACTAGCTTAGGAACCCAGTTTTCCCTGTACAAATATCTTTTATTTCTTTTGTTAAATATTGATCCAGCTCCGCTTAAATGAACAAAGTTACATCTATTGAAATGGTTTTAATATAACTTCATATTTTTAACCCAAGCTTGAACGGCTTATTTAAACATAGATCTTAAGACTGGACCTACAGGGTGTCCCAAAAAACATGGGAATTGAGTGACGAATTCGATATCGTCTTTGTTCTGAATTAGCATTGTAATACCTAATTTCAAAAGCCATAATATTATTATGTCGGCTAGAGTTTATTTAAAGAAAAGGGTAAAAGACTGCAAAGATGTGTCTATAATGTCTCCGCAAGATGAACAGTGAATACGGACAAGTTTACTCTGTTTGTATACTGTAATTTTCTTGTTTTACTAAGTACAACCGGTTGCAGTCAAAACATAAACAAACAAAATGTAAACATAGCAGACGAAACTCTTACAGATTACAGCTTTCTCAGTAGGTGTCACTATACTAAATCAAAGAATTATTTGAAAAGACGATATCGAATTCGTCACTGAATTCCCATGTTTTTTGGGACACCCTGTACTTTTAAGTGTCGCAAAGCCTTTGATTCACCTACTAAATCACTTATAATTTTTTTTGCAGCCGTTATAACTGCATTTGTTTTTAAATTAGTTTTTAAGATTTAATTTGCAAAATTCATATGAAAATTTGTTTAAGTTGCAACCTTTGGTTCTCAGTGTCACACACAAGATTATATATAAGGAGAGATACTTTGGATAAATGTCGTCTTTATTGCAATGTACACTCTAAATCCTCATATGACGTCACTGATACTTAACATACAATCATTATGTTCAACAAATATTGATTGATATAACAAGTTGGAAGCTAAGAAATACAACGTTCTAATTCAAGTTTTCAATTTTTAAGTTCGTTTATATTTAGTGAGCCGAACAATTTATCATTCTTTAAAATAATGACGTCATATGAGGATTTAGAGAGTCTATTGCTATAAAGGTCGTCTTCACCTACATTATTCAACCTTGGTCACACAGGAATATTATTATTTGAAAATAGAAATACATTTTCAAAAATTATTTTGACAATTTGAAAACATCCAAACCAAAGAAAGGGAGCAGAAGAAACAAATAAAAAATCGTACATCTTTGAAAAAGTATTTTTATCCCGATAACTCCATGCCCCGTGGTATGTTTATTACGTTACAGGGATACATAATGAATTTGCATTACACTAATTAGATCTAAGAGTAATCATGCATAATTATATCATTAAATATATCCAACACGAGAGATCCACGTGAAACTAACCAGAGATCCACGTAAAACTAACAAACGCTAAATATGTATGTTAGGGATTAAATTTTAAATCACGTTTTTTTATTCAAAGGCTAACAAAGAAAGCGTTAATGCCTTAAAGTTTAAGCTACAAAATTCGAAAATTCTACTTTTGAGTGGACTGAAACCAAACAATAGGTCACACCAACTTTTAGTTTAGAAGATAGATTATTATACTAATCAACGATTTAAACGCTATAGACCAAGTTTATGGGCTCAAAATGGTCAAAACAGCATGTACAGTATAGTTCGGTCAAAGCTGGTCCAATCAGGCATATGTACAATAACGTTCAAAGACGTGTTGGTCTAAATCAGGCATGTGTACAAGTACGTTCAACGATGTGTTGGTCTAAATTGCAGACATATGTACAAGTACGTTTAAAGATGTGTCGGTCTTAATCAGGCATCATGAACAAGTACGTTCAAAGACGTGTCGGTCCAAATCAGGCATATGTACAAGTACGTACAAAGTAGGGTTTCCAGCACAATTGGGAAATCGTCGTTTTGCGAAAATTTTGCGAGTAAAAAAATGCCGCCAAAATTTCGCATTTTGGGTCGGTCAAAATATCAGGCATATGTACCGTACGTTAAAGTTTAGCTGGTCAAAGGCACAAAACAATTGTGTAATGTATTAACTAAATTTGTTAAATTATTTTACTACAGTTACTGCAGAAACAGGTCGGAGCAAAGAAATGCGAAATTTCGCGAAAATGTTTGCTAAATGCGAACGAAAATTTTCGCATTTTTTCACGAAACGTTTCATTTGCTGCAAACCCTAGTCAGTCCCCCCCTTCTGTCTGTCTGTTTACTTGTAATTTATAATTTATATTCAGAATATATCAACTCCAATAATCTATAGATTATATATTATGTGGATTAAACTAAGGTCATTTTTTTACTGTTTTTACAAGAAAAAATTATTAGTGAACATTCAACTAGAAAATTCCTAAATGTTTTATGGGATCCATCTTTCACATAAAAAATCAATGAGATATTATGTAAATTAGCAAAATTTTCAAAATTCAATGCTTTTATCCTCCTCGGATACTAAACGAACACTGATGCATCTACTCTTGTTTACAAATTCCGCCCAGAGAGAACTGGTTTCAATATGTACGCAGAGTATATGCAACTGTAATTAACTTTCCTTGCATCATAACCTTGGTTTCAGTTAAATATTTTACTCCCTGAAATTAATGGGAGTAACAATATTTCATTAATTAAATTTTATTTTATCGTTTTGATACTAAAAGACATTGAGCAATGAATTCGTTGGAAATTGTAATTAAAATGTTAGCAATAGCCACAGATTTAAAATATATTTTAAGCTCCACAGCTTTCCCAGCATCTTGCATAGGTTTAATTCGAAATTTGGGTGAGTTTGGGGGGGGGGTTATCGGAGAATATTAAGAGAACTTGATTTTCTAGCGGAGTCCGACCAACTGGTGTCCGTTCTCAAGTATATATATATATATATATGGGGAGGTTCCAGGCCACTCCCGTTCCTTACTCTACCTTCTAACACGTTCCATTACCTTCTCACATCCTACCCTATTTACTAACACACTCTCCCTTACCTTCCAACACTCTCCCATACCTTCCCTCACCCACCTCTACCTTCCCACACCCTCCCCTACCTTCCCACATCCTCTCCTACTTGTCCAAACCCTCCCCTACCTTCCTACATCGTCCCATAACTTCCCACACCCTCCCTTATACTACTACATCCTTCCATACTTTCCCAATTCCCACACCCTCCTCTACCTTCCCACATCCTCTCATTCTTTCCCACACCCTCCTCTACCTTCCCACATCCTCTCATTCTTTCCCACACCCTTCCCCACCTTCCACCCCTTTCTAGCCATTGGTTCCCAAGAAAACTTTACAACAGCATATTAACAATTAACATCAAGTGAAATATTAAATGACACGGAATTAACTATTTTAGTTATCTGAGGGAAAAATTTAACTGAATATATAATGAATTGAGCGGATTTGATATTCTGAATGCTTATTCTTTTATATAGTTCTGATTTTAGTTAGAAAAGAAACACATGTTGCGTTCTGACTGCTTATTGTTTTAAATAGTTCTGAGTTTAGTCAGAAAAGAAACACATGTTGTGTTCTGAATTCTTGTTCTTTTATATAGTTCTGATTTTAGTTAGAAAAGAAACACATATTGTGTTCTGAATGCTTATTCTTTTATCAAGTTCTGATTTTAGTCAGAAAGGAAACACATGTTGCGTTCTGAATGCTGATTCTTTTATCAAGTTCTGAGTTTAGTCAGAAAAGAAACACGTGTTGCGTTCTGAATGCTTATTCTTTTATCAGAATGTTCAGAATGTTCAGAATGTTCAGAATGTTCAGAATGTTCAGAATGTAAGTGCAGAAGAAGGAAGTGATGCTATTTCAGAATATTTTCTCACTCCTTCAAGTAAATACAAATGGGATCTTTTTATTTTCTTGTGTTTGACATATTTGTTTGTCAAAACTGTGACAGCTTAATCAAGATCTGTCATGCATGTAAAGTACGGATTATTTCGAATGAATTACATTGTCAAAGTGGCTGATTTTTAAACATAGTGTTTACGTAATTTCAAGTCAACTTCCATCTAAAGAGTGGAAAATGTCTGATTCACAACAGAACTCTTTACATCTTTGTCTTATTAAGAATAAAGAAGAGAAAATGATGTAAATTATTATTATTTTAAAGATTTATTCACACACAAAGATATAAATACATATATAAATGGTGTAGTTAAAATTTGTTTAAATAAATTTTTTTTTTGAAAATACAGGTTTCCAAAAGAAAAGAGAAAAAATATGCAAAATTATGCACAAATAGAAAACATAGAAAAAATTGTCCGAGTCCGAATTCAAGGCGTTTTAAATTAGAAAAACAAGGATACCTCCCTCATTGTTACAATACTCATGAAGAGGTTTAAAGGGACTGTAAACGTAATTTTAAGTGACCCTCCGTGCAAAGATAGAGATGCTTGATTCACATCGGTACCCTTGAAAGCGATGTCTGAACAGGTATGCATTATTTAACAATGTTTAAACTTTTGAAAACTAATTTTTTAAATTGTGGTTTCTCTTCAAGACTGACTTGCACATTTCTACTACAGAAAACCATACAGAAATGATCAAATTAAAAACCTAGAAAGACGACAATATATTCCACATTATTACACAGATAAAGGTTTCAAGGGTACCGTTGTAAATTGGGCATTGCAATTTTGCGTACCATCCTATTAAAGGGTAATCTATTGAAATTACACGTCTATACTCTATATATAGTCCTTTTTTAAAGTTTTTCAGCTTTTCAGCTTCAAAAGACTATAAACTGAGAAAACCAGACGGATCAAGTAATTGAAATTATGACAGGAACCTGGAAAAATTGAATAGTAAAATATATCTTCTACCTTAAATATGTTATTTTAATAGTTCACTATATCCAATGTGAACACTTTTAAAGGAACTGAGTTTTTGCAACAAACTCAAATTGTTAACTTTATATATCTTTACTACCTGAAGGTTAAAACCTTTGATATTTCAAACTTAGATTATTTGATCTCACAGAATTCGTAGTTTGAAATATCAAATGTCTACAATATTGGGTTGTAAATATATAGGTATTGGAAAATCAGAGTTTTTGGCAAAAACTCAATTTATTCAAGGATGAATGTGTTCCTACAATTAAAGTTATCACTGCAGAGCTGAAAACTTTAGAATGAAATATCCAGAGAAGCTCCTAAATCCTTAATATCCAGATTAAATATTGCTTGTTCTCCACATGAATTTAAACTCCAGATTAATTATTCGACGGGATATCTGGATATTTCATTCTAAAGTTTTCAGCTCTGGGTTCACAGGGTAGGACTACCAAGGGATATCTAGGAGGAATTAGATTAATCCGTTGATCTACAAAAGATGGAGATTAATCCGTAGATCTTCATAAGATGGATATTAATCCGTAGATCTAAATAAGATGGAGATTAATCCGTATATCTTCATAAGATGGAGATTAATCCGTAGATCTACATAAGATGGAGATTAATCCGTAGATCTACATAAGATGGAGATTAATCCTTAGATCTTCATAAGATGGAGATTAATGGTAGAACCTGAGATTCAAGACACAAAAATTCTGAAATCAGGAACATTAATCTTATAAATTTAGTTTTCATATGTTTAGCTTATTTTGTCACTTCCATTTGCACTAAAAGTTTTGCTGTCAAATATAATAAATTTAGTTTTCATATGTTTAGCTTATTTTGTCACTTCCACTTGCACTAAAAGTTCCGCTGTCAAATATAATAAATTTAGTTTTCATATGTTTAGCTTATTTTGTCACTTTCAATTGCACTAAAAGTACCGCTGTCAAATATAATAAATTTAGTTTTCATATGTTTAGCTTATTTTTTTCACTTCCCCTTGCACTGAAAGTTCCACTGTCAAATATAATAAATTTAGTTTCCATATGTTTAGCTTATTTTTGTCACTTCCACTTGCATTAAAAGTTCCACTGTAAAATATAATAAATTTAGTTTCCATATGTTTAGCTTATTTTTGTCACTTCCACTTGCACTAAAAGTTCCACTGTAAAATATAATAAATATAGTTTTCATATTTTGAGCTTATTTTGTCACTTCCACTTGCACACTAAAAGTTCCACTGTCAAATATAATAAATTTATTTATTTTCCCCTGAAATTAAAAAGTATCGTTTTCTTGAAATATAACATTATAAAGTGGAATAAAATATTTTTGATTTTTATTCATAGAGAAAATACAATTTATTTTGAACAATTTGAAAACAATAAAAAAAGTTGCGAATGCAAAACTTATTTTATAAATGATCTAAAAAAACGAAAAAATGAGTTTTACATGAATACGTTATATAAACATAAGATTAAATAAATAACACAGTGGTCTCCCGAACAGAGTGATAAATGTAAGACGACCTCAACAGTCAACACAGTGAAAACTAATAAAAATTTGCTTTTTAAATTTATTTTTCTTCAAAAACAATTTTTCAGAAGAGAAAAAACAAGTGTCGTTATAAAAAAAATCATTTATTTGGGAACCACTCTGCTAAAACCTATTCAACATATTTTTGAGGACCACTGTACTGAAACATTGAAAATAGAATTAATTGAGATTTTAACACATATGAGTAAAATTGCTTTTGAATAGAAATAAATAAAATTTTCCAATATTTCTGCTTAAAAAGTTCCACTACAGACTGTTTTTCTTTTGCTTCTGTACATTTTTCTGTACACCTTTATGTACACCTTTACGGACACCATTGTGTACACCTTTATGTACACCTTTATGTACACCTTTATGCACATGCTTGCTCTGTATATTGTTCAACATCTTGACGAATTTATCCTTATTCTTCTTCTTCTCCTTCTTTATTCTATTCTCTAAACTGTCATGGTCGACAATACCGTCGTGGATGTAATCACCAAAACATGATTCATTTACTGGATCCATCTAAATATATCAATATGTTTCATTTACTGGATCCATCTAAATATAGTAATATATGTTTCATTTACTGGATCCATCTAAATATATAAATTTGTTTCATTTACTGGATCCATCTAAATATATCAATATGTTTCATTTACTAGATCCATCTAAATATATCAATTTGTTTCATTTACTGGATCCGTCTAAATGTATAGCAATCTGCAATATGTTTCATTAAATGGATCCATCTAAATATAGTAATACATGTTTCATTTAATTATTGATCCATCTAAATGTATAGTAATATATTTCATTTCATGGATCCATCTAGAAATAGTAATCTATATATAAATTTGGCTTGTCTGTCTGTTTGTCTGTGCGTCTGTTTGTTTGTATCCAATAATCGTCAAAACGGCTGAACCGATCGGGCCCAAAGTTTTTGTGGGACATCACGTGACCACAGGGAAGGTTTATGAATGATCGAAATTTCAAATATTTGTCTCCATCAAAATTCGATCTTCATTAAATTTTTGAAAATTTTGAAAATCCACGAAATTTTTTGTGAAAATCCGTGAATTATTTTTCTTTTGTTTTAACATGTACACAAAGAGAACATGTTCACAATTAATTTAGAAGATGGGCGCGAAGCGTCCTCTTAGGCTAGTACATATGTATATTTACTGAATCCATCTAAATATAGCAAAATGTTTTATTTCCTGGATTCATGTCAATTTCAATCATAGCAGTCTTATTTAATCTAATTAAAATTTAGACAAATTTTACGTCATCATAATCTTTAATCAATCTTTTTTAAAGGAACTTACAATACTATGATAGCAGGACCCGCAGCAACAGCTGTGCGTGTCTGTGACGTCACAAGGATGATAACCATACCTCTTACAGTGCCCCTAAACATGTGACATGTCAGGAAATGGCGGAAATTTTGCTACTAAAACAGTAGAATGTTTTATTTCAAAATGGTGGATTATTTGCTATTCAAAATGGCGGAATATTTGCTGTTTAAAATGGTTGATTATTTTCTGTTCAAAATGATGGAATATATTCGTGCCTTTTAATTGTTATTAAAATGGTGGTTTTATTCGCTATTTAAATTGAAGGAAAATTTTGTATTCAAAATGTTTGAACATTTTATTTTAAATTGGTGGAAAATTGATTTTAAAAATAAATATTTGTATTTAAAATGATGGTTTATTTTGCTATACAAAAAGATGGAATATTTGCTATTCAAAATATCGATTGGAGCATTTGTGTTCAAAATGGAGGTTTATTCACTGTTTGAAATGATGGAATATTTATCCAAGGTCATGGAATATTTGCCATTTAGAGTGATGGAATATTCGTGTTTAAAATGGTGGTTTATTTAACGTTCAATATGATGGAATATTTTCTATAAAAATGGTGGTTTAATTATTTAATGTTCAATATGATGGAATATTTTCTATAAAAATGGAGTTTATTAAAAGTTCAAAATGATGAAATATTTTCTATAAAAATGGTGGTTTATTTAATGTTCAAAATGATGGAATATTTTCTATAAAAATGGTGGTTTATTTAATGTTCAAATGATGGAATATTTTCTATAAAAATAGTGGTTTATTTAATGTTCAAAATGATGGAATATTTTCTATAAAAATGGTGGTTTATTTAATGTTCAAAAGATGGAATATTTTCTATAAAAATGGTGGTTTATTTGCTATTCAAAATTGCGGAAAATTTAAAGATTTTTCAATTGTTTGTAATTCAAAATATTAGGTTATTTGCTTTTCAAAATGTAAAAATTAAAAAATGGATAAATATATCAATAACTAATGTTATAATTATACAAAATGTAAAATTTTGACATTTAAAAAAAAACACTAAATGATTAACCATGATAAGGATTAAAACTAAATTGGACACCATCTAGCGTTAATATTCCAAACTATTTATACCTGCCAACATCTAGCTACCTCCTTCTCGCATGTGTAATCTATACATCTAAAAATAATCATGTACAAATATTTATAATCACAATTCATACAACTGTTCCATCCAAATAGGTTGTCAAGTACAAAAGATGGCAACACAGACTGCGTACATTTTCAATACAGCTGTATTGACGTCATAAGTGTCAACTCAAATTCTGTGTCTGAAAAAAACTATAAATAAAAGTGAGAATGTAAGAATAAAGTGCTTTTAGCTACGCTCAATTTAACAAACGCCTGTTTAAATAATTACTTTATTACTAAATTTATATACTTAAATTTATAGAAACGTAAAAATATTCAACAGATAGATAGGTGACGTGGCCGGAAGTTGCTCATCTTGCCGCGTCTAGATCTTAGGTTCAAAACTCCTCAGAAGTCTCGTCTTCCGCCACTACGCCGCCACATGCTAATCTTTTAATGAAAACAGTGCAATTTTATATATTCTTTTTTTCTGTTTTTACTTCATCATTTAACGTTCTATTGACTAAATAACAGGGTTGAAACTGATTTTGTCCATGGCCCTTTAACATTATAAAGGGTGTCCCAAAAACATGAGAATTCAGTGACGAATTGGATATCGTCTTTGAATTAGCATTGTAATACCTAATTTCAAAACCCATAATATTATTATGTCTGCATTTGCAGTTTTTAGGTCTAAAAACAAGGCATGTCACGGACCACTGCGCCTTTAGTAAAAGTAAATTGAACCTATATGAACCATAAAGTCTGACCGCGTCAACCTTGTTGCACCGGCCAGTCCTGTCCATAGAGCTAGGTACAGTACAAACTGGGACCGGAAAGGTTGACCCGGCTCGGAAATTCAAATGTGCTACGGCTGCCCATGATGTTAATGCAAACTTTTGTAATAAGCTCAACAAATTTTACGGAGCAGTCTAGTATAACTGTTCTAACGCCAATATTTTCTAATGAATTCAAAAGGTAAAAATGTCAGCATGTATCTAGTCAGATTCTATGTAAACATTAGTAGTTCCATTTTATGGTATTCTATGCAATGAGACAATTCCCCGTTTTTAGGTTCTCAACCACGACATGTTAAAGTTAATTGCACGCTTAAGATTGACATTTTATATGTTTTCGATCACAACATCTCTTATTGAAGAGCTATGGGAGAGTTTTTAATTTCTAATAAAGGAATTATGATTCCGTGTTGGAAATTCTGATTTTCTATTCCTTACATCTTTGAAACCTGAATTCTGCTAGATCAATTTCTCAAAGTTTGAAATATTAAAGTTTACACCATTAGGTTGCAAAGATATAGAGGTTAGTTAATCTGAGTATGTGGCAAAAACTCAGATCATTTGGTTAAACAAAAAATCAATCCTAGAGGAGCTACGAGGTTGCAAAGTCGTGCAAGTGATGTCCTCCTTCTATCTAGTTCAGTGTAATGTAAATGAAACCATGTAAACTTTTTACATTTTACTTTTTATTTGAAGGGTTTCAAGACGGAATATTTAAATATATAAATTTGTGGTAACATTCTTACCTTAAACTCTAGTTTTATTTAAACATTTGATATTTCAAACTTTGGACATTCAGTCTAGTGTAAAATTTTCAACGGTCCTTAATTTACGGTTAAATTTTTTAAAATCTTCGATTAAAGTTTAAAGAAGGTTATCAGTTCCTTTATAAAGGGGAAAGGTCGATTAACAAAAAAAGTTTTACTAACTTTTTAGTGCATTTAGTACCATCAGGGTAGCCTAGACATGAGGCCCACATAGTCAGCGATACATCATGATCTACAGGACCTCGTAGTAGAGTACCTAGATTAAGATCAAGTATTTAAATTTGTCAAAAAACGTAGAGGATATCAAGATCAAGAAAATGGTTTAGCGCTATCTAGCACAACAGTTTTGACCTTCTCAGAATACCTAATTAAATTGCTGAATGATAGATTCAAACTGCGTTTGATGTAGATAGATAGATAGATAGATAGTTAGATAAATAGATGGATAGATGAAATCTGATAAATTCAACAAAAACCTCTTTCGATCTAGAAAAACCAGGATGTTCGTCAATTATAAAGGTTATTTATTGACAGTTTAAAGATTTCCATGATAGATTAGACAACACAAATATTTTGTAATATTTTAATTATTATTATTATCGATAATAACAATCCTGCATATATTCTATATATTCGTATATAAAGTAGTAATCTCTGTTTGGGTGTGTATATGTTTGTGTGTCTGATCATAACTCATGAATCCCTGGATCGATTTGGCTTAACCCTATTCCTTAAAAACGGCCTACACTAGAACTTTTTAACTTCATTGTGGTGAACAACTTTTTATTTTTTTGCTAGGGTTAGCTCGAGGGCGGTGTTCCAACAAAAAATTAAAAAGTGAGTAACTTTCTATCAAAAAAGCTGAAGACTAAAATGTATTTATTTGAAAAACCCTTGATTAATAGGTGTTATTTATAATTTATTTCCGTGTATGAGGGGGGGGGGCGGAAGGGGCGCCTAATCAAACTCACCTCTGTTTTTTATCAAAGATTTCACTTCTAAGCATGTACAGTATAATACGGTTAATAACATGAACACAAGCTGAAATAAACTGGACCGAACCATGTTATTATCTAAAATATTTTATTTTAAAAAAATAAATTAAAATTTTTTAAATACAACTTTATCCATTATCATTCAAAACTGCAAAAATGAGGAGAAGGAGAGGGGGGTCAAGAATTATGATAAAAATGAGGAAAATGGGAGGGGGGTCAAGAATTAAAATAAAGATTGCAAGAAAAATAATTAATTTTTGAAGAATTATTACCGCTGAACCCATAAATCCTTATGAAAGTTTCAAGGAAGAGGGATTGAAATCTTTTCAAGGTACGTCGTAACTCATGTAACCCTGAAACGGCCGGGACCGAAATTTTTTATATCTTTCTCAAAGATAACATAAACTACAAAACTGTGTCGTAGACAAATATCTTTTTCAAATACATTTTAAAGACTGAAACTATAATTTTATATTTTCCTCGATTTAAAGAGTGACATGTCCGATTCACAACGCTACTCTTTTAACCTTTGTCGGACAATGGATGACTAAGATATCATCTTTAAAAAAAAATCTTGAAAAGTAGCAACCTGCCAATAGTGTTACAACAACTAATAACTATATAATTCATGTTCCGTTTAAATTCAACTTTGTTAGGAGAGTCGGTAATGAGAAAAGGCAGTAAACCTTAAATATACTTGGTTTATGACCTTTTGCAAATATGCAGAAATTGACCTAGTTTTTTTACGCCTACAGGGTGTCCCGGGTATATTGGTTTCTCAAACAGGGTTAAACAATAATAATGGGTTTACAAACACATCATCACATCGCAATACATGTTTCCAAATTGTACCCTCAAATTTCGTAATCAAATTAAAAGTAAAAGTTGGATGGCTGCCAAATAAGAGACAAAAATTTGCACTTATTCAACAAAAAACGCGTAATTGGTTGAATTTTTCTATTAACTTCCGAAAATCCTAAGTTATAACAATTCACCGTTCACGGTTCAATATCATTGCAGTATTTGAAATCAAATTGGCAGTAAAAGTTGCATGCCTGTCAAATAAGCGACAACAAATCGCTAATTTGGTTGAATCTTTCTGTTTATTCCCGAAAATCCTAATTTAAACAATTCACGATTCAATATCATGACTGTTAAAGTTGTATGACTGCCAAATAAACGTCACCTAATCGCTTACAACAAAAAAACGCTTGTTAGGTTTAAATTTTCTTTTTACTTCCAAAAATCCTAATTAAAGACAATTCATTATTCAATAATTTAAGGACAGTAAAAATCAATATTTTGTCAACAAAAATTGGATGACTGTCAAAAAATCGATCTTTTGTTAAATATAGGCGCTCTTTTAGGGATTTTTGGGCAGCAATTCAACTATAATGCTAAATGCCGATTTTTTATTTCGAATGGCCCACATTTTACTGAGTCGTGAAATGTGCTAAATTAATTTTTCGGTAGTGAACAGAACAATTTAAACGATTTATTAATTTTAAGTAAACTTGCAATCTGATCAGAGACGACTGTACAGAATTAACACTGTCTTTTTCCTTATATTCAGGATACCCTGCATTAGTAAATATTAAATACATTAAAAAACCTAAAAACGACTATATTTGGGCAGAATACTTAATTCACCTTGCAAACGTCATATTTAAAGAGTTTCAGGTCGTCTGTACAGTCTAATACTTTGTGAGTAACCCTGTATCTTAGACCAGGCGATGGGCAAAGTTCTATTAACGCCCGTAGATTTGTCAAAATTAACGGAAATTTCGTTGATTACAATCTACCTAATTGACAATTTTACTATTTTTTTTTACATTTGTATAAATTCAAGGCAAATAAGTTTTCATTTGATGGTCGCACGGTTGAAGACAGTTCCTTTAACGGAGGAAGTATTTGAAAATTTTAGAAATTCTGTTTAGGACCTACCGTACATTTCAAGATTATAATAATATTTCTGATGGAATCCGACTGCAGATATTCAATAACCTTCATATTTGATGGATGAGCTTTTTGCATATTTCCATAAAACACGCTTTTTATCCTCATTCCAAAAATATAAAATTCAACGAATTTATAACGCAGGATAGGGTGGTTCACAGATAGGAAATAATACAAAAAATCGTTAATGAAAGGTTTAAAACTCATCTTTCATTAAAAAATCAATTTACTGGAAAACAATCTAAATCTTATTTTTAACTCTTGGACTTATACAGTCTAAGGCCGCGGCTTAAGTTTGAGACGCGGCTCAAATATGGTTGGTTCCACTTAAATTTGTATTCAATGTTTCAAGATTTAAGTCGGCGCTCAATTAAAACCGGTTTTTGGTGGATTTGAGACGCGACTCAAATTCATTAAATTCGGACTCTGTATGTTTTTAGACTAATAAACTGGAGTAATTACAAAAAATATTTGGAAACCATTTTGGGATCCGTAATATTCAAAATAAAAAAACTCAGAAACACCTCCACCGATTTGCCTCAAATTTTGACTGGGGAACTTGGAAGAACCACGGGAATGTTCTTAGCTTGGTTTTGAGATTTTAAGTTGAGCGACCCGACTTTTATAGGGATAAATAGCTAAAACCGTAAGCTACGACAAAACGCGGGTAAACAGTGGGACTGATTTTGAGTAACCTGGGCAACTGGGCTTTGATAAAATCTTCGATAAAATCTTTAATAAAGCAGAGTACATTTTTGAAACCGAACATAGTTTAGACTATCACATAGTGATTTGAACGGTATGTAAACTCAGTAGACTGCGCTTATATGGACAACGAGAGACTGTGCTCTAAAACATTCTGTGCGGCGTAGAAAACACCGATGGAAACAAACAAAAGGAATCAATATAAATATTGATTGTTTCCGTAAGTCGTATCCTGTATCCTGTATCATCTATCTCGTATTGGGTTTTCTGTATCCTGTATCCTATATCCTATATCCTGTATTCTGTATCCTGTATCCTGCATCCTGTATCCTGTATCCTGTATCATGTATCCTGTATCCTGTATCCTGTATCCTGTATCCTGTATCCTGTTTCCTGTATCCTGTATCCTGTATCTTGTATCTTGTATCCTGTATCCTGTATCCTGTATCTTGTATCCTGTATCTTGTATCATGTATACTGTATCCTGTATCCTGTATCCTGTATCCTGTTTCTTGTATCCTGTATCCTGTATCCTGTATCCTGCATCCTGTATCCTGTATCCTGTATCCTGTATACTGTATCCTGTATCCTGTATCCTGTATCCTGTATCCTGTATCCTGAATCCTGTATCCTGTACCCTGTATCCTGTTTCCTGTATCCTGTATCCTGTATCTTGTATCTTGTATCCTGTATCCTGTATCCTGTATCCTGTATCCTGTAACCTGTATCCTGTATCCTGTATCCTGAATCCTGTATCCTGTATCCTTTATACTGTATCCTGTATCTGAATCAAGTTTGATTAATATTGAGAAAGAAAGGAATATTGGTTAATATTGAGAAAGAAATATTGGTAAATATGAAGAAAGAAAGGAATGTCGATTAATATTGAGAAAGAAATCAAAATTGGTTAAAAGTAAGAAAGAAATATTAGTTAATTTTGAGAAAGAAAGGAGTATTGATTAATATTGAGAAAGAAAGGAATATTAAATTTTGAAAAAAATTGGAAAATTAAGGATTAATATTTAGGATTAGAAATATTGAATATAGAAAAAAATAACAATTGATGATTAATATTGAAGAATGTATTGAAATGACGAAGTCTGACGCAAATTAATTCACAAAACAATAACTTTAATCTTAGTATCACACCGTCAAATTGTAAAGGAACTGAGTTTTTGCCACAAATTATGATTTTACAATCGCCATATCTTTTCAACCGGATGGTGCAAACCTTTGATATTTCAAACTATCATTATTTGATCTAAAATGATTCATAGTTTGAAATATCTAAGGTCTCCGACATTCAAATGTAAAGATATAGGAAGAAAATCAGAGTTTGTGACAAAAACTCAATTCCTTTGCAAATTAAGCCGAGCTTCTAATCTCAAAACCTTTCTTTCAATAAACCTTGGTCCTTTTTATGATTATCCCAAGGTTGAATAATAAGGTTGCTTACTCTAAATGCGCTCCAATCGACGGAAATGTCGTCGCCTTAGCACATACAGTTAGAATCCGCATATGACGCCACTTTCACCAGTGACGTATATGCGGGTTTTATTTATCTATTCTAAGGAGACGACATTTTCCTTACATTGGAGCGCATTTAGAGTAAGCAACCTAATTATACAACCTTAGACTATCCTATAAAAATATTTGAATTGTTAAGACCTTTTAGCGAAGATATTTCAGATTGGAGATAATGCATTGCTTGCAGATAAGGGTTAGAAAATAGATTCAGTATGTTTTATGGATTTGATAAAAACTACCACCAAGGTAGGTCAAGGGCGGGACCGGCGGGTGTAGGGGGGGAGGGGAAGGGAAGGGAAGGAAGTCGACGACGTGGAAGGGAGGGGCATTAAAGGATAACGACTCATGTTTCAAAGATATCGTTTGGAAAATTAGAGTTTGAGAAAAGTAATGATGAATGTCTTCGAAAACTGAGCCTTCCAACCCTCTATGTTTACATAACAAGCGTGATAAAGGTTCTTGGGAAAAAACTTCATCAAATGCTTAAAAATTTTAATTTTTACAATGTTATGTACAACAAGCTAAAGTGCCCGGCGTTACCCATGGAATTTAAATAAAATTCGAATGATGTTACCCCCTGGGTCCCCCATAGGTTTCCTTAACAAATTTTAGCCTATTTGGTCCAGCCGTTTAGCCAGCTACATATATATATAGAGTTGTTCAAAGAATTGTAACTACTGAAGATCGTCATGATGGCGTGAAACATTCTGTTTAGTATAATTCTTTTTTAATAAAAAATTGGAAGTTAAAAACTGAAATATATATGACTCAAAGAAGTTCGTAGTAAGATTTTGATTCTACTGGAGACCACCGGAGGGATTTTATTTTCACTGGAGGGGTTTCAAAAAATGCTTTTTGCAATTTAAAACTTTACGCAGGGTGATTTACATTCCACTGGAGGGATTCAGATAGCCTTCCTAGGGGTTTATAATTCCACTGGAGGGATTTAGTTATCCTACCAAGGGGTTTATAATTCCACTGGAGGGATTCAGATGTCCTTCCTGGGGGGTTATAATTCCATTGAAGGGATTCAGTTATCCTTCCTAGGGGTTTATAATTCCACTGGAGGGATTCAGATATCTTTCCTAAGGGTTTATAATTCCACTGGAGGGATTCAGTTATCCTTCCAAGGTGTTTATAATTCCACTGGAGGGATTCAGTTATCCTTCCTAGGGGTTTATAATTCCACTGGAGGGATTCAGATATCCTTCTTGGGGGGTTATAATTCCACTGGAGGGATTCAGTTATCCTTCCTAGGGGTTTATAATTCCACTGGAGGGATTCAGATATC